GCTTTCTGTGGAAAGGTGACCACATTGTCTGGCTGCCTACCAAGGCCTCTGTCTTTCTGATGCCTGATGGATTCCAAAAGCCCCAGGCTGGGATGGGGAGGCCTTGCCCCTCTCCCCACCCCCCGCCACCCCCACCTGGTCTCCACCGCGACTTCCATCAAGGCAGAGGGCTGGGTCTGGAAAATGCAGGCAGGAGACGATAGTTTGCTTTAAGCCCTTCCTTTGGCTTGGGAATGTAAAATATTATCATTTTGGGTTTTTTTTTGTTGTTGCCTGGAGATTTCCCTTCCCAAATGGATTTGGCTCTGGCCACAGTAAGATGAGTCTGCATTCCTCCCGCTCTGCCCAGTCTCCAATTCTAATTGTTGTGGAGACTCGAGACAGATGCTCGCGTGCTGACAACTGGAAGTCGGCTGCATGCTTGCCCAAGGCTGACAACTGGAAGTCAGCTGCGTGCTTGCCCAAGACACTCTCCTGCCATGCCGAAGCCTCTCGTTTTACAGATGGGGAAGTGAGACCAAAGAAGCCTCAAGACTCTCCCTGGACACAGTCAGTGATGAGGCTGAGATTAGAATTCAGGTTACCCGACTCCTGCCCAAACTCCTCTGGGCTTTCCTTGAGTCTCCTCTTTACAGATGCCAGGCGTACCTACCGCCTCGTGTGGTAACTATAGCACGAGACCCCACAGGCTGGCTGAAGAGAAGGGCCCTAGGAGAGGGCATACTAAAGGAGTAGTGTGACGTGTTGCTAAGCTACGAGGCTCCCTGACAGGCTCGGCACAGGCCTAACCCTACCTGACAGGGAGATTCTTGTAAGGTCTTGAGAAGGCACCCTTGGCTTACTACCCTAGAAACCACGAGTCCCCATAGACTCTACCTTCCCTTCTCCTTATGTCTTGATCCAACCCCTGAAGAGTTGTTCCTGATAATCCTTCATTTATGAATTAGGCTGTATTAGTTAGCTGTCTTGTAATAATCCCAGGGAGCTAATAATTATTAGCTCAATGATACCTAACCATCATATAGTTCATGTATGGTGTCAGCTGAGCCAATCGAAGTGTGAGTTAGTGGCCCTCCAGTCTTTCTGGAATGGCCCATAAGTGGTCTCATCACTGCACTAAGCTGGGTTTGGCTGGGTGGCTCTGTAGAGAATGACTGGAGCTGGGAATGTGGCTTAGTGGTAGAGTGCTTGCCTAGCATGCATAAAGCCCTGGGTTCAATTCCAGGGTACCACATACACAGAAAAAGCCAGAAGTGGCACTGTGGCTCAAGTAGAGTGCTAGCCTTAAGCAAAAGAAGCTCGGGGACAGTGCCCAGAGCCTGAGTTCAAGCCCTGGGACTGGCAAAAAAAAAAAAAAAAGTACAAGAGAATGGCTGGTAGTTCTGTAGAGAACTTAGAGCCCCAAGTGATGTTTGTGAGCTTGATGCTCAGGCTCTGATTGTTTCTTGGGTCCAACGGATCCCTTTTTAAAAGTCAGATAACATGTCTTTGTAACCCCTCTGTACGGTATTTTCACAATAAAAAAAAGTCAGATAAGATCCTGAGAAAGGCCAGCAGCTGAGGGAATGTTGGCCCAGGCCCACAATATGAATCGTCCCCTTCCCTGCCCCCCTGCCCCCTCCCCCCTCACCCCCACCATCACCACAGCCATGAGCTGTCCAGCCAGTGTCCAGTTCCTTTGCACCCAGCTTTCTTTTGTTTCTCGGTGTCTGGGTTAGGGTGGGGGGTGTGGGGGGAGTTGTCAGTCTCTGAGAAGAGTATATTCTCTGAACATGAAATGCAGCCACCATCAGAGAAAGCCAGAGGGTCAGAGAGGATTTGACATCATTTTGAGGAAATCCATCCTCTGGTTGGTTAGGTCTGGGCAGAAGCAGATACCCATTTTGTAACTTAATATTCCTTCCTGTGGCCAGCATCACTAACCCTGTTCCCTGGGGAGACTGGAGTGGGAGTGGGGAGGAGGTGGGGCCTGTCCTCGACAGAGTCCCACCAGATTTGGACACTCTGCTGACCCCCAGAGACAGTACAATGTGGCCTCCTAGGCCTGAGACAGGGCAGGAGGCTGTCTTCCCTGAAGAGAATCTTCCTTTTCCCCAGTAGGTCCTTTCTGTGAAACAGCTGGCTTCTCAGAGTGGGAGGGACCCAGATCAGCACTCCAGGATATTTGACCATGTTCCCAGATAATGTGTTCCTTGCTGAGTAGTTTGGGGGCAAGTTATTGTTTTAGCCTCCGGGCAGTATGATGGTGTCTCTCAGGAGTGAGATCTAATTGATGGGTGTAAAATTAGCGGTTGGTACCCAGAATAGTGCCTAGATGATAGGATAGCGTGTTCTTTTCTCCCCTTTTCCAAGATGAGGGAGAAAGCGTCAGCTTTCTGTGGGGGGAGGGGGGAGCCTGGAGCATGCCAGGGCACCTAGAAGACACAATGGCGTCACAGATGTCATCCATGTGACAAGTAGGTATGTGGTGTGCTTGCAGTGAGTGCTCTGGGGACCAGCAGAATCCAAGGTTGGGCTTGGAAATGGAGACCCTGAGGGTCTGCTCCCTGAGGCTCTCTTCTGCCTGCTTGGAGGTAGCAGGAACAGCCTGGACCAACACACTGAGCAGAGAATGGGCCTGACATAGTCCGGGGTCGGCAAGAGTGTGGAGTGGCTGCAATAGAGATTAGAAGGGCCCAGCGGGAACTGAGGGGATGTGGGAATTCACACAGGGCCTTGAGTTTGGCTTTGGCTGTGAGTGGGTGGGGACGTGGATCTGTAGAGAGGCTGAAGCTGAGGCATGATGGGTTCTGGCAGGTTTGGGCTGGTCCCTCTGACCCTGGTTATACCAGACACACTGATGGAGGGTGTGGAAGAAGACTGGAGACACAGTTTATGGCTCCCACCCTCACAGGCCCTCATCCCTCTGCTGCCTGGCAGAGACGAGCCATCTGGCTTTCCTGACAGCAAGAACGTGTTTTCCCTCTTTTCTAGCACTACCTGTGCCTGCTGGGCTCAGATGCAGGAAGAGAAGACCTGGTCTCCAGGGGGCTCCCAAGAGCCACATGAAGTACCGCCCCACTTTCAGGCCTGTGCATGTACATGTATGGCGTGCATGTGTGTGTCTCTTGTTTGTACACATGCATGAGCATGTGTGCCTGTGCTGGTGTGGGTTGGTATGTTTGTATCTCAGTGTGCACGTATGCACATGTATCTGTGTGTGCATGTCTGTACCACCACGTGTGCATGTGTATAGGGGTGCGTGTTTTCCCATGTGTGTTTGCATCGGTGTGCATGTATGTTTGCATGTGTGTGTGCTCCTGGAACAAAACGGAGAGTGGGTGAGTTTGTCTGCGGCTGTGACTCCACTTCCTTGGTGCATCTGTGCCACTTACCTCCCAGGTCTCCTGTGTGACACTGGAGTCCCTCTCTTCCGTAATGTGTCCCCAGAAGTGTGTCAGGAATCCTCTTCCCCACAGCTGCCTCCTGATCACCAGGCTAGCAGTGCATTCATGATGTGGGTTCTGAAGAACAAAAAAAGGGGGTCCAATGCCCACATACACACCCCACTGTAGGCCAGGATACCAAGTCCACGGTCAGCTTAGGACCATGAAGGAGGGTTGGCAGCCACAGAGTCCTGGGGGCTGCCGCTGTCTCTTGTCCCTGCAGCAAGGGCTGCTCGTAGATCCCAATACTCCTCAGACTCTGTTAATTCAGGGCTGCTTGGAGCATTGGTAAACCGTTGGCAAAGGAAAGGGCGTAGCACCTAGCTGACATCCCTGCTCTGATGTGTCCGGTTTTTCCTCTGGAGACTTTTAACTCTGTGGCTGTATAATGATGGAACTCTTGGCACCTGTGTCTATGCGCAGGACACGTGGAAGAACCGGCTGGTTTTAGTAGAACAAACGGCATTTGGGCGGGCACCCCCACGGAATCACCCATGGATACACAGACCTGGGGTCAGTGCCCAGGGAAGGATGGGGGGAAGCCTGGCATCAGAGTCCTTATTTCTCAGGCTCTGGCGTCCTGGGCAGGCTCGTGAACCCCTCTGACCCTTGTTCCAGATTTCCCTCGCCCTGCACTGCTGGGTTTCCTGGAGGCTGAATGGTAACCTTGGCATGTATATTCTTGGAGGCTAGAAGATACCCCACGTAGGAAAGGAGTGGAGGAATGGAGAGTCTATTCTGTTGGCTGCTTTTCACTTATCTGAAAGTCTCGCTGGCCAGATTGGCTGCCCTACTAGTGGTAAAAGCAGAGGCAAAGGCCCACTTCAAGTAGCTATGGATGACAAGGATACCCTGAAATGCCTTGTGGAGAAAGGAGTTGCAGAGTAGGCCTCCAGGGATCTAGTTCTGACAACCCCCTGACTTCACCTCGCCTCTGGAAAGACCTCTTAGAAAGACCAAGTCCCGTGCAAGTTGGCAATAGCAGACACAAGACAGTTCCAGAAGCCCAGAGTGCCTGTCTTAGTCTGTTTCTGTCACTGTTACAAAATGCAAAAGGCTGATGATTGACAGAGAAAAGAGTTTTAGCTAGCTCCCAGTTCTGAGGTGTAAGAGCGTGGTGCCAACATCAGCTTGACCTTTGCGGCGGTTCTTAACATGGAACAGGAGGAGCTTGTGAAGCAGTTTATGAACATGAGACAAAAGAAAGAGGTGAAGGCCAAGGCAAAAGGACTTGGGGTTACCCTACCCCCTCTCCTTTGCATCTGTCAGGCCAGGCTGTAGCTGCTGGTAAAGCCAGAGAGAACTTTGTATCTGATTCTGAACAAGTCGTCAGGCAGCAGGGCAGTGTCTCAGGCCTGGGCAGGAGACAGGAGTCTGTTCTATGGCTTATTGAGCAGAGATAAGAGGAGGAAAAGGAGGAGAAGGAAGAAGAGACCAACAGTAGCCAAAAGAAGCAAAACTGTAGGATTAGAGATGGCAAGGTGCTGTCTCCCCTCCCTGAAGACCAGAACATCTCTAGGAGAGAAACAGCCTTGCTGTTCCTCCACCCTCCTGACTCTCCTGTCCTCCTACCAGGGTTCACAGATACCTTCAACATGGACACCAGGAAGCCCCGCGTCATCCCTGGCTCCAGGGCCGCCTTCTTCGGGTACACGGTGCAGCAGCATGACATCGGCGGCAAGAAGTGGTGAGTGACAGCTGCCCCCATGCCCCATCCCAAACCATGGCGCTTCCTGGCCCCTCCAGCCTCCCCCCAGCGGCTCCGACTGGTCCTCACCCAAGTCACACTGGTCTCCCATTAACAGAATGCCTTGTTCCAGCAAGCCAGAGTCTGGGGATCTCTGCCTCGGATGACAAGAGCTTGCGCGTTTGCTCCCTCGGGCCTGTCATCCTCTCGACTCCTTCTCTGGGTTATGTGACAAGAGGTACCTAGGAGCACTGGCTATCTCCCTTCCCTCCCCCTCGGGACTCCGTGTCCCCCATTGCTCCGGTCCTGCCTAGCAGTGCGCATGTCCGTGAGCTTCTCTATGGCCACAAGGCATCAGTGGAGAGAGAGAGACAGAGACAGAGAGACAAGAGACAGAGAGAGAGGGAGAGCCTCAAGCCAGGAGGGACCCCCCACACCCTCAGGAGGGGCTGGGGGGGTTCCACTTCTGATTTTTAAATAACCACTGCAGCCCCTCTCCCCATGAGAGCCGCTCGCTTTGAACGTGCTTGCTGATCTGTTTTTAATAAACACCCCCACGTTGTGCAGCCATCAGCACCAATCATCACCTCCGACAGGCTTCGCACACGTGTGCTGTTATTTCCTGTTCCCTTCCGAGTGGCTGTCACTGTCAGAAGGCAGGGCCTCCCCTCTTCATGCTTCCAGAAGCTCAGCCTTTCCCAAAGCCCTCCTCATAAGCACTGGAAATAGACATCCTTCACCACCCCTCTGCCCAATCTGCCCCTCTTCCCTTCCCTTCTCTTTCGACTGCTCAAGCATCTGGCCCAGTGGCCCTGCTTCTGGGTTCCAGCTCTGGAGGCCTTTGTACATCAGTTTTCCTCTTCCTGGGTGCCTCTCCAGCCTTCCCTGCTGTTATCCCTACCCTGTCAGCCTAATCTGCAAATTCCCCTCCACCGCCACCCTCTTCTTTTGCCTTCTTCCTCCTTTCTTTTCCTCCTTCTACCTTCCCCCTTCTTCCTTCCTCGTTTTATTTATTATTGTTCTGTTGAGCTATAACTTGCAATAAAGTTATCTTTGTGATAAAGCATAGATACTGTGCAGCTCGGTGAGCATTTATGTATATGTATGCTTGGGGCATCAGCTCCCAGAACAAGATATGGAACCAGGCTCTCAGCAGGGAGATTTCAATGTTTCGTAATGGAATGTCACCTGCAGTGCATTTATTTGTTTATTATAGATACCTTCAGATGAAAGTCTTCTCATACTTCTAGTTTTCTGAGATTTGTTTTTAAAACTCATGAACAGGTGTTGAATTTTATCAAATGTTTTGGCCAGAATTGAGATGACTCTGTAGTTTTTTTTCTCTCTCTCTTTTTTTTTTTTTTGCCAGTCCTGGGGCTTGGACTCAGAGTCTGAGCACTATCCTTGACCTTCTTCTGCTCAAGGCTAGCACTCTACCACTTGAGCCACAGAGCCACTTCTGGCTTTTTCTGTAGTACTGAGGAATCGAACCTAGGGCATCATGCATACTAGGCAAGCACCCTACCACTAAGCCACATTCCCAGTCCTCTGTGGTTCTTCTTTACACTTTAAGGTGGTTTAATTACATTGGTTCATTGAGTTGTTTTGTTGTTTTGCTTTGGGCTTTTTTGCTTTATTTTGCATTTTGTCTTTATTTTAGTCTACAACTGACTTTGTATCCCCAGGATAGCCCCACTTGGTTCCCTTTGCGATTCTCCCACGTCTTCCCAGGAATTTGGTTCCTAGGAGACACTAGTTTCACGGGGTAGATTTGCCTATAAGGGTTGTGTGCTGGTGGTGGTGGTTTTAGTAACTCTTTTAGGTTTTGGCACTGTAATTGCTCAAACTTCATAAAATGTGTGGAATACTGCTCTCACTTTCACTGTCTTTGATTGAACATAAGATTTCTATCAAGGTCTTTAAGTATTTGGGAAGTGAAGCATGGTAGCATCTGGAGTTTTCTTTGTGGGAAGATTTTTAACCATGGACTCAACTCCTTAAAGATTTCCTCCTACTTGGATTTCCTGTTGTTTCTTGCATTTGGTTTTTAACTCTTCTTGGTTGTGTGAAGGGTTAAGGATTAACTTGAGCTGACTTTTCCAAGATATAATTTATTTGGCCCAAGTATTGTTTCCTGGGCATCTGTTGCAAGTTTCACTAGGATCTGCAGAGTTCTGGTGTGAAGAAGGCATGGTTTCCCTCTCAAGTAATTCACAGACCATTTGAAGAGGCTTAGAACTAGCATCCTTGAAGTAATCTAAAAACAATTCAGCACAAAAGATGACATGGTAGCAATTACAGTCATCTTGGTGAGGCTACTTTCTCCATGAGGTCTTTCTAGATCTGTCTGCTATCCTAGAGTGACCTTCTGCTCTCCAGGCCTGGCCAACAGCACATATCACCTGACTATATCCCAGGCTCATATACCTTGTGGGACACTCACTTCATCTCCCTGAAGCCTGAGGGCAGCCGGCACATGCTTAAGGCAGAAATCTCAGGCAGAGGCCCAAAGGAGGAATCCTGGCTTGCGGTCTCTTCACGGAAGAGGGGCATTTGAACAGTGCCTGGGGGTTGGGGTGAGGTTAGTGTACAGATCCCCTGGCTTCTGCCAATCCAGTGCATTGTGGGAAAGAACTTGGATCCTGGGAGGTCACACCAGTGTGTGTGAAGAAGCAGATTGGCAGCCTGAGGGCCCGGGTCCTCTGTGCCTTGTGCAGAACAGGCCTTTCCGGAAGTCCTGTCCCTGCTTGTGAGGCCTTTACCTCATGTTCCGCCTCCCATCCTGCAAGCAGCCTTCCAGAATTTTATACACACCACGGAGCTGGTGGTCGCTGATCATGGGAAAAGAGGTTAATAACGAGGTTATGGGTGGACACTGCCTGAGTGCTCCGGCGAGGTTATTTGGGGAACTCTGAGTCCATGCGTGGCCGGGTGGATGTGTCCATCCAGCTCTATGCAGAAGATGGAGAACAATGGCTTGGTGCAAGGCTCTGCCACTGGTAGAAAGGGCTTGGCTGAGGCTCCCAGCCCTAGGCCATCTCTACTGTGGTCAATAGCAGCGATTCCTACTGTCTCAGGGCAGGGTCAAAGAGGACCCAAAGAATGAATGAATGTCCACATTATCCAAGGGGGAAATGATAACTGAGTTGCTTCCTTCAGCTGTTTATGATGGATAGTCCCTCCAGCCCCATGATGGACAGCCCTCAGCCTCAGGATGGACAGGCCACTGCGTCCCCCCCCATCCCCATGATCAACAGCCCATACCAGTCCCAGAATCTCCCTTCCTTCTGGTACTTCCTGCTTACCAGCCCCTCTCCCAGGCAGAGCTCACACAGCCGGCTGCAACCTCTAGACAGAAGTCTGTGTTTCTGAAAGAGCCCTCAGAAGCCCAGTGGGGAGACCATGGTCTGGAGGGTCTATGAGACAGGGTAGCCCCAGGCTGCCTGGAGGGTGTAAGAGATGAGGAGAGCAACAATAGGAAGGTCCACTCCTCACAGGTCTGGGTGCACTGGGGTGTCCAGGACACAGGGCTCCGGGCAGGGGCTGCCAGCTGCCAGGTCAGGCCAGTGAGGTGACCACCTCACCTTCTTCCTCACCCTCCCTTCTGCCCGCCACACCGCCAACTCAGAAGGCAAACCAAACGAACCAGGGAGGCTCCAGACATCTTGAACTGTTTCTCACACATTTGGATTTCAGCAGCCACCATACACTTGTGGCACAAAAGAGCAAAGGGAAAACAAATTCTTCTGAGGCTGAGTGTTCTCTGCCCCTGCCTTTTAAGCCCTTGTGGATTCTTAGAGAAATCCGATCCACATGACTCTGGCCATTTGCAGTGACATGATTAAGTCAGCTGGCCAGGTGGCCACTTAAGGTCCCCTGCAGCCACTTGGTGTCCCCACAGCTTCTACCGAGGCCCTTGGGGCCTCTCTCTTTTGCAGGACCCTTGTGGAGTTGAGGGTAGAGCCTCTGCCTTCTCTTCAGGGCCTCGGGGAACAGGCCTCTATGAGGGGAGCCCATAGGGTGTATGGGCCTTAAGAACATGAAGGCAGTCTGAAGGGCCTGGGTGCAGGTGCAGGGACAAGAGGCCTGTCCCTGTTGTATACAGGGAACTGGGATTTGAGGAGAGGACAGTGGCCAGGAGAGGGCACAGTGTCAGATCTGCTGCAGTGAGCTGTCCTCAGAGCTGAGGCACAAAACAGGAGCAGCCTCCCTGGAGCTGGCTAAGAACCTAGGACCTTCCACTGCCAGGCCATCCCCTCCAGCTTTGCTGCTGGCCTGTGGCAGCAGGGCTGGGATATCTGCACAGATCCCTGAGTGTGGCAAGGGCAGGTGCAGCCCAGGTGGACGAGAGATGCAGGCCCAGGACACTGAATCACAACAGAAGGTTCTAAGAGAGGAACACACGGAGAATTCTGGCCAGGGTCAGAGATGGAAAAGAAAACACATTAGAGAAAGGGCACTACTGCTACGCTGGTGGAGAAATGCCCCGAAGACAGAGCCGCAAGGCCCAGGCCAGAAGGTGAGCACCAGCTCTGACCACAGAGGTTCTGCCATGCCTGAGGACTGTATCTGGAGGCCACAGAGACTTTAGACTGGGAGAGTGGGCCACCAGAATTGTGCCTGAGGGCATCAGCTCAGCCTCCTGTGAGGGTGAGATCAAGGAGGAGGTCCCTGAGCAGAGAAGGGAAGGTAGACCAGAAGAGCCAAGACCACCCAGCCAAGGGGCGGGGAGGGTGCTCAGAGAGAGGTCTGCTTTGTGATTCATGTATTCATTCATTCAATGAATTAATAATACCTGTTGAGAGCCCGTTCAATGTTTCCAGGTCCTGCAAGAACTGTAAACCACTATGTATTGTCTACATAGTGGAGAAGCTTTGGGCAGGGCTGAAAATTGTGGGAGTGGTGGTTATGGTGAGGACCCTATCCTCCAGGCTGTCCAAGAAGGCCTGGACAATGGCCGACCATGCCACAGACCCGAAGGACCAAAGGAAAGGAAGAATCCATGATAATCAGAGAGTTCCAGGCAGTAGGGCTAGGGAATGTAAAGGTCCCAAGGCAGGAACAAAGGTAGCTGGAACAGGATTCACTAAGACAGGAACCAATGGAGTCAAGTGGGAAGTCTTAGTGGATGAAGGGTGTTTGACAGATCTCTGACTGGGAAGATAGCAATGTCCTTAACACAAAAGCAAAACCCTAGCAATAAGATGCAGGCCTTCGGACAACCAAGAGCTTTGGACCCCTTTGGCTTGAAAGGATACAAGGGTCTCCCAGGCCTGTTATCTCAGAAGTCTAAGACCTTATCTTAAAAATAACCAGCAAAAAAAAAAACCAGGGCTGGAGGCATGACTCAAATGATATGAGTATACCCAGCAAGTGCAAATCCCTGAGTTCAAAACCCTAGTGCTACAGAAAGGGAAAGGGAGTGGGGGGGGGATGGAAAAAGGGTATCTATTGCTGGGCAGAGCTGCTCTTACCCAACCCTGTCCCCCTCCCTTCCCTGATGACAGTTAGACCTGGGCCTTGTTGGCTGCGGCAAGCTCCCTCAGGAACACGCTCCACTCTTCCTGCCGCAGCCCCCACAGCAGTCTCCCAACGCCGCAGCACATAAATACCCTCTGCTATTTTCCCTTGGAACAAATAAAATCCTCACCATGACTCACTCTGGTTTAAGGATAAATCACTACAGAAGCAAAGGCCAGGATAGAATGACGCCGCCCACCGCCAGAGAGCCAGAGAGAGAGAGAAACTGTACTGGCAGGAAATGCTGGCCACAAGCCCCAAGGCCAGGCCACCAGGCAGACCCTGGAGGGAGCACTGGAGAGACAATGCAGAAGACTGGAGAAGTGGAAAGAGCTAGAACACTCCAGACAGCTATCCTCTCTGAGCAAGAGGGGGAGAGGGGCGCTAGGAGCCTTGGCCCCTCAGAATCACAGGCAGGTGGAGGAGCTTGGGGGTCTGAAGGGGAAAGACTCAGCAACCCAGATCTCAGCTGCCACCTGCCAGTGATTCCCCAGCCCCACACAGTTCCCAGGAAGTTCATTTTTCTTCTTTCCTTTGAACACCAAACCACAGCAAAGTTACAGGATTGGAGAGTGGGGCTCAGGTAACTCTGACATATACAGACTGGGCGGCCAAGATGGAACCTGCCCTCAGTGCCAAGTTCCAAGAGGCAGGGAGCCAACCACTGCATGCTTTCTGGGTAAGAAGACGTACAAGCTTGGTAGCAGAAACACTGAGAAGAAAGCCTCCTGGTTACTAACTTCCAAGAAAGAGAACAAATTAGATGTGGGTAAGATCAGGGGAGCCAGGAGGATTTGCCAAGTCAGCACTCTCTGCACCGGCTTCTTCCCACCCCCCTGCAGCCTGTGGCTCATAAGCTCTCCCCTGACATTCATTCTGGGACTCCAATACCAAGAGAGGGAAGGAGAGGCCTCACATGAGGAGCTGACTTGGGAGCTGTGATTTCCCCAAGCGGCCTGACTCCATCTTGAGAGCAGATTGCTATGAATTTTCTACATTTGTTTCCACACTGGTCCTCTCAGCTCACAAGAGCTGCAAGTTCTGTGTCCACAGATCCAAGCAACTGCAGAGATTGAAACCATCCTGGAACAACTATGTGTCTGTACCAAACCACGGACATACTCGTTTTCTTGTCGTGATTCTGTATTTCACCTACAGAGATGAAACCATCTTCAGGGCTTCATTGACCTCGACGTTAAAAGTAATCTAAGGTGGGCCTCTAGTATCTAGGAAGATGAGCAGCTTTCCTGTAGGGACGCAGGGCCTTTTTATCTGCCAATGCTGCGCAGACAGCAACAGACAATTGTACTTGGGTTTTCTTGTTTGTCTTTTTGTGGTGCTGAAGCTTGAACGCAGGGCTTTGAGCTTGCTGGGCAAGTGCTCTACCACTTGAGCCACCCTTTCCAGTCCTTTTTGTGTTTCGTTCACTTTTCAGAGAGTCTCCTGCTTTTCTATTGTGCACAGACAGTGACTCACACACACAACTATGGCAAGGCCAATGTACAAGAGCGTGGAGTTTCCCTGGTCGTGTGGTGCCCACAGCAGGAGATTGGGTATCCAGCCCCTGAGAGGCCCTGCAGGCCTGGGGCTGCCGATGGCTATATAAGGCTGAGGCTGCAGGGGGTGGCAGGGGCTGCCAGACCCCAGCAGCAATTTAGCTGCTTTGGATGGTGACGTGGGCCTTCCCCTGCACTTGGGCAGTGAGCCCCTCAGCCAGAGACTGAATCATGCCTTCCAAACCTCAAGCCCGCCAGGCACACACCACGTCCAGACTCCAGCGTCGAAAGGAGGCTGGCCCAGACTCCCTTCCTAGGAGAGCCATCCCACAGGAACTTCAGTCCCAACCCTTACACAAACTGGGGCTCCCTCCCTCTTGGGGGCCTCCATTTCAGAAGCCCTACTCCCAAGAGACATGGGATCTGGAAAGTGGAGATGGAATTCTAGAATCGGCTTTTGTTCTTGAAGAAGGCCAAAGCCCAGCCTTGTTGTGAATATGGGGTCATGATAACTTAGCTGATTGTCTGCCAGATTGCCCCCATCTTGGCCATCACTCGGACATCTGGCCTCTGGGCAGCCAGCAGCCTTAGGCATAGTTCACCCAGATATGGCCACTTCTGCTTCTCGGGGTCTCCTGTCGCCTGTGGCTTTCCACAGTAGCTCTGGGAACTACAGGATGGCTAACCCCAGTTCACAGCCAGGAAAAGCAAGACTTGAACAGTTACACGATTTCCCAAGGCCACCCACGAGCTGTTGACAGGCCCTGAATGATGACCTATCTCCAGGAGTCTCAGCCCAAGGGCCTTGCCCTCTGCTGGGGTCCCTTCAGTGGCCTGAGACCCCAGTAATGGGAAAGGGGGGGAGCAGATGGGGAGGGCGCTTCTAGAGGATGGAGGGGAGGGGACAGACAGGGACCATGCTTCTAGAGAGTGGATATGCAGACTGGCCCCAGGAAGACTTGGTCACACATCCACTGAACCTTGAAATTCGCAGCAGCTGGAAGAGCAAGCTTGGAGCGCAGGCTTTCTTTCCTGCTCATTCTCCTCTCGCTCTTGTGCTTGCGTTCCCTCTCGCTCCTTCTCGCTCAGAATGGAGCAGCCTTGACCACAGAATTAAGTAGCCAAAAGTCACGTCGTCTAGACAAACAGACTTTATGGGTCCAATTAATTCCTGCCAGTCACAAATTGGCATGCCTAATAAGGGGCTATATTTAGGCCCTGTCATTATGTGGCTCCCAAGGGAGAAGCCTCAGCTCCTATTTCACAGACATTTCATTTCAGACAGAGCCATGTCAGCCCTGCTTCAGACTTGACTTGCTTTATTGATGGCACTGAGGCAGCCGGGCCAGGGCAGGGGTGCGTCCAACCAGGAGATACCACTGTGGCCTATGCCACCTAGGCCTGCAGCCACCTCCTCTCAGTGGTCTTAGGTCAGAAATTGAGAGGATGTTTCTTCTCTGGGCCACGTGGCCCAGGGACGGTCTCAAAACCCTCTCTCCCAACAGGGTTTAAGTGGGCTCCAAACTCCCTGTCCCCCAACCCCCTCCCACCACCACCCTGTGCCCCAATCCCAGTGTTTTTCTTTCCAGTGCAGGCCTGGAAGTCTGTAGGATTATCTGGGTATGTGGGGCCTACCCAGGGAATCCAGAACAATTTCAACTTCATATCCATGACTTATCTCTATCTCCAGAAACCCTTTCTCCACATAAGGTCACAAAGATGTAAGCTCAAGAGGAATGTGGCTTTGTGGTAGAGTGCTTGCCTCACATGCATGAAGCCCTGGGTTTGATTCCTCTCTACCACATACATACAAAAAAAGCTCGAAGTGGTGCTGTGGCTCAAGTGATAGAGTGCTAGCCTTGAGCAAAAGAAGATCAGGGACAGTGAGTTCAAGCCCCAGGACTGGCCACCCTGGCCACTCTTTTTTGTTGTTGTTGTTGGTCATGGGGCTTGAACTCTGGGCCTGAACGCTGTCCTTCAGCTCTTCAGCTCAAGGCCAATGCTCTACCACTTGAGCCACTGGGCCACTTCCGGTTTTCTGAGTGATTTATTGGAGATAAGAGTTTCACAGACTTTCATGCCCAGGCTGGCTTTGAACTGCAATCCTCAGATCTCAGCCTCCTGAGTAGCTAGGATTACAGGCGTGAGCCACCAGCACCCAGCTGACCCTGGCCACTCTCAATAGGTTGCGCTGTAAGAAGACTTAGTGGTCCCTGAATAACCTCTACCCCCACCCCGGGCCCAGCTAGAAACCTTCACTGTAAGATCAATGAGGCCCTGTGAAGAAATGGCAGATGACTCAAGACCCCATGGCTTCAAGAACATCCCTCTGCCTGCCTCCACTGTGGAACCTGCACCTCTTTACAGGCCCCCGAGAGCCTGTGAAGACTTTGTCCAGGCATCTCCCCTCCTCTGCATCCCCTGTCCCCCAGCATCTGTTGCAGGACCCTGGTAACAGGTGACAGGCTGAACTTGCAGCCTGGCTGCCCCTGGATTCCCTCCACACTGCCCAGCCCCCCGACCCCGGCTCCCGCCAGAAGAGTGCATCTCCCCCACCTCCTCACTGTCTCCCTTCCTCACAGGCTGGTTGTGGGTGCCCCACTGGAAACGAATGGCCACCAGAAGACAGGAGATGTGTACAAGTGTCCGGTGACCCAGGGAAATTGCACCAAGCTCAACCTGGGTAAGTGGCTGCCAGTCTCCTCATTCCAGGCTGGCTGCAATTGCCTACAGAGGAGGCTCTGTTGCACTATCACCTGGCTCCTCCCAGATGCCCTGTCACGTGACCCAGATAGCATGGCTGCCACCACCTTACAGATGAGGAAGCTGAGGCCAGAAACAGGGGGTCCCAAGACACACAGCCAGGTGCTCCACTTCCCAGCCCAGCCTCCCCCCTTCACGCAAAGGCCTCCCTAACACGAAAGCCTCCAGTGTCTTTCCTGACTGGAATTCTCACAGCAAGAGCCAACATAGATAACGCTCTGCAGGTGCCTGGCCCTTGCTTCAGCACCTTTGAGGTGTGTGAGCTCATGTAATTCCCATCCAGACCAGGAGGCAGCCCGGACAGGCTTCCAACTCTTCCAGGCTTTGGCCACTTCACTCTGTGTTCCCAGCACACCTGGGGCTCTGTCTTCCTTGTCCTAACTGCAGAAGGGTGGTAGGTCATCACTCTACCTTCAGAAGGAAGCAGAGTTCCACAGGGGCTTCCTTGCCTTCCAGCCCAGCTTCTCCTGGGCATCCCCCTCCCCCAGTGGTGTCTGTCATTCATGCTTTTGGGCTAAGGCACCACCAGGGTTCTGGGCAGTGAGGGGGACTCGCAGGTTGGGGGGGCACAGAACAATCCCAGCCACCCAACACTGCCCAGAGGAGATAGACTTGATTCCAAAAGGAGCCTTGCTCAAATCTGGGGGAAGTCAAAGGGAGAAAAATGGCCAACATGCAGCCCAGCTGCAGACCTGGTCGCATGCCTGCCACTTGGCCTCTGTGGTTACCCCTGGCTTTGCTGAGCTGGGCACTAGAGGCCATCTCTTCATACCTCCCGTCACCAACCAACAAAGCAGAAAGCAAACTGTTGCGGGCTGGAGCTCCAAGAATGCAAAAACTCTTACCTGTTCCACCCCTTTTGCCCATGGGCACATATACACACACATACACGTGCATGCACACAGACACGTGCATGCACACACACTTCTGGAGAATTCAAGCTCTTCCTCTTCCCTTCAGTGGCCTGACAGAATGGACAGAAAACCTTACGTGGTCTCATCGTCCTGAGACTCTGCCCTGTACCTCTCTTTCCCAGCCCAGTCATCTAGCGCTGCTGCCCTGAATCTCTCCCAGGAGTCAGTCTGGTGCTGCAGGCTCTGGGCAAGGCCTTTCCCCTCCCAGAGGCTCTTGTCAAGTTGTCTGTTCCTTATCTAAGGGAGAGAAGTTCTCAGTTACTATCCATGAGCTTGGCCGATGAGCAGGGGGTTCCCAAAGAGTAAGCCCCAGACAGTGAGGAGTGATGGGAGGTTGAAGAACATGGACAGGACCCTGGACAGAGGAATCTGCCCCAGTGGGTGCCATAGTGCTTCTAAGATGGGGCACAGACAGTCTCTCTGGGACTCAGAGAGCTAGAGGAAGGAATCAATCCAAGACTGAGGAAAGCTGGCACGATGTTGGGTAGGTGAGGGCCCCAAACATCTAAGTGACCCCTGGCAGTCTCAGACTCTGGGTGGAGGGCTGGAAAGGGCTGCAGGCCAAGCTGCTTCTCCCTCTACTCCAGGGAGAGTCACCCTGTCCAACGTGTCTGAGCGAAAGGACAACATGCGCCTTGGCCTGAGCCTGGCCACCAATCCCAAGGACAGCAGCTTCCTGGTAAGAACCCACAGCCTGCTTACCCAGGCCTATCCTATCACCCAGCCCCACTGCACGCGTGCGTGTGTGTGTGTGTGTGTGTATATCCATCCATCATCCATCTACCTAACCATCCATTATCTATCATCTGTCCATCATCTTCCATTAACCATCCATCATCCATCATCCACCCATCATCATTATTAATCATCATCCATCTATCATCTATCCATCCACTCATCCATCCATCATCCATCTGCCCACCATCCATCACCCACCCATCCATCATCATCCATTATCTATCAACATCCATCTATCATCATCTATCAATCACCTGTCAACCATCCGTCATCATCCATCATTCACCCATCATCCATCCATCCACCCATCCATCATCATTCATCTTCCATTCAGTTCATCTGTCATTTTCCTATTCTTTCATCTTATTCTTTTCTGTTTTTTTTTTTTAACAGGACTCGGATTTGAACTCAGAACCTTGTTCTTGCTAGGCAAAGGCTCTACCACTTGAGCCATACCTCTAGCCCTTTTCGTATCATTAATTTTCAAACAGGATTCTCCTATGTATACTTCTCATAACTCCGTTGGGTCCCACTTTCTTCCTTCCAGGCTGACCTGGAACTGTGATCCCCCTATCCGCCCCTCCTTAGTAGGTAGAGCTGCAGTGGTGAGCCACCATGCCTGGATCATCCTTCCATTCTTTATTCTTCTCCATACTTCCAGACATTCCAGCAAAAGACACAACTAAAACATTACTTCTAAGCTCTCAGTTAAAAAAATAAGAAAGCGAATTAAAGTTTGAGGGAAGAAAATTACAGCATGAAATAGAGCTCTAGGCTCTTTGATGGCAGGACAAAGACATAGGCAGGCTGGGTTTACCTTCCTTCCTTCCTTCTTTCCTTCCTTCCTTCCTTCCTTGTTTCCTTCCTTCCTTCCTTCCTTCTTTTCTTTCTTCCTTCCTTCCTTCCTTTCTTCTGTCTTTCCTTCTTTCTTCCTTCCTTTCTTCCTTCCTTCCTTTCTTTGCTAGTCCCTGGGCTTGAACTCAGGGCCTAGGCACTGTCCCTGAGCTTCTTTTGCTCAAGGCTAGCACTCTACTACTTGAGCCACAGCACCACTTCTGGCTTTTTCAGTGTATGTGGTACAGAGGAATTGAACCTAGGGCTTCATGCATGCTAGGTAAGCATGCTACCACTAAGCCACATTCCTAGCCCCTGGGCTTTCATTTCTAAGTCCCACTGTAAGAGATACCATTCAGCCCCTCATTGACAGCCTGATGTCAGTATCTTTGGGTAGCAAATTTCACAGATGGAGCAGAGACATTCTGTCTCTTTTTCCTAGTAGGAGCCACAATGTGCTGCTGGTGCCTGGTGTGGAAATTGCTCAGTGACGACCTTTAGAGGGTGAAGATCTGGCCTAGTGACTCTCAAAAGATGTGCCTTAGGCCGGTGCTGGTGGCTCATGCCTGTCATCCTAGCTACTCAGGAGGCTGAGATCTGAGGATCACAGTTCAAAGCCCGACGGGGAAAGAAAGTCCGTGAGACTCTTATCTCCAATGAACCACTAGAAAACCAGAAGTGGCACTGTGGCTCAAGTGGTAGCGTGTTCTCCTTGAGCTAAAGAGCTCAGGGACAATTTCTGTGCCTAGAGTTCAAGCCCCATGACCAACAAAACAAAACAAAACGTGCTTTAGTTGAGAAGGGCTGTGTGGGGCGGGCAGGAAGGAGCCCCTCGCCCCGCTGGCGCTTCAACGCTTGGGCGTTGATGTTGGTCTGGGAGCTGGGTGGCCGCTGGGCCCGTGTGTACCCCTGTGACTGTACACTCTGCCCCACAGGCCTGCAGCCCACTCTGGTCTCACGAGTGTGGTAGTTCCTACTACACCACGGGGATGTGCTCACGCGTCAACTCCAACTTCAGGTTCTCCAAGACGGTAGCCCCAGCTCTCCAAAGTAAGTGAGTTCAGACGTACCAGGGAAGGCTGGGTGGTGGACATCCAGAGAGGCCCGGGCTCTCGACACTGCTGTCCTGTGGCTACAAAGCAGCATTCAGACCCTGTAATTGCCTGACCCTGGCCCTCTGGATGACCTGGGAGGAATCCATCCACCTGGCCGGGCCTCTGTGAGGGTCACACTACCAGCCTTCCAATATGGCAATGAGGAACAATGAGCTGGGCTAATGGAGGCCACTCTGGCATCTTAGGAGTTGGACTGCAAAAGCCCTGAGCGTGGAATAGACAGCCAGGTTGCCACATACGCAGGCAAGCTGTACAATTGCACAAATCTGGGGCATCATCCGCTCAGACTACAGTGTGAATGGTGCTCCCTAGTGTCCTACAAAGCCGTAGCCTGGTACACAGAGGGCCAAGAACAGCTAAGCCCTGCTAATGTTACACTGGCTCAGGGCTCCTGGGCACCAAGGAGACTCAGACTGGCTTTCCCAGAGCCTTGCTCCCAACTATCAACAATCAGTGCTCAGAAACCCTAGACTTCTTGGCTCTGGGTCTCACAATGGCCTCTGTCCTGAACCACAGGCTTAGTACCTGTGCCTTGCTGTCAGCCTCCTTCCCGCACCCAGGCCAGTCAGAGGTGGAAAGATAGCTCTAGGGAGGAGGAGAGTCTAAGGGGGCAGAGAGTCAGTCCTGCAGTGTTGGTGGGATACTTCTATTCAGGCTGACAGAGATAAAGGTCACTGAGCTAACTCGGTGTGGCTTAAAAAAATAAATATCATCAGCTAAGATTTATCGGGACTTGCTTTGTGTTTGGAGCGTCTGAAGAATCTTTTCATTGAAACATCACAGCCACCCTTACTTATAGTTATTCCTCTTTTGTAGTAGAGGAGTCGGCTACTTAGGAGCTTGAGTGAATGTCCCCAGGCCCAAAGCCAGTGAGTGGCAAGGCCACAGGACCACAATCTCCCTGGCCTTTAACCATGACTCCTCCCTCAGAAGTGAAATCCCTTTCATTTTGGGCTGGGGCACCTGGCACCTGCCAAGGACAGTAAAGCAAATGGAAGCAAGGTCCTGCTTTGGACAGAGCTGGTTGTCTCGGGAGCATTGACCAGTTGGGTAGTGGTTAGTCCCTGATCAGGACCCGAGAAGGTCAGGTTCAATTGAAGCTGGATCCTCATTCATGTTGAAGCTCCCCACCCAAGGGGTGACAGGCATGCATTAATCCTTTTCTTGTCATCCCGAGAACGTTTATGCAGAAACTCAAAGGCCTGCAGGGCCTGGCTCCTCGTAGCCCTCACCCTGTCCCTGCCTCCTAGGGTGTCAAACCTACATGGACATCGTCATTGTGCTGGACGGCTCCAACAGCATCTACCCCTGGGTGGAAGTTCAGCACTTCCTCATTAACATCCTGAAGAAGTTTTACATTGGCCCGGGCCAGATCCAGGTGAGCTTGCCCCTTTCCGAACAGAGCCCCGGAGACCATGATATGGGATATGAGGAAGCATCCGTGCTCACGCTGGGGAGGTGTAGGTAAAAGGGCAAGGTCTGATGGGGGCCTCACCTCAGTTTCTCTCCTGGGATAGGCTCCGTCTATGAGGTTGTTGCCTAGCAGGAGGGCAGGAAGGGTGAACAGATAGAGGATCCTGAGAAGGAGGTTGGGGAGATGAATCAGACATAATCTGAGAGAAGATGCAAGGGGAAACAGGTAGTGGCAGCATCACATACTGAAAATGCTGCTGTCCAAGGATGGGGGAAATTCACTCCCTATTATTCTGGCTGAACAAGGGCCAACGGGTAGAATCTCCAACGTGGCAAACATCAAGTCACTCTAAGAAACTGCTCCTAAGGTGTGGGCTGTTGAAAAGGGAGTGGAGCTTCTCATGGCTGTTTCCGGGGACAGAGGGGAGAATGTCTAGCAAGTAAAATGCAACAGGCCCATCCAACAGCAAAAGAGCCTTAGTTCTATCATTGGTTTGCTACACCAAGTCTTTTTTTGTTGTTGTTGTTTTGTTTTTTGGTCGGTCATGGGGCTTGAACTCTGGGCCTGGGCACTGTCCCTCAGCTCTTCAGCTCAAGGCGAGCGCTCTACCACTTGAGCTACAGCACCACTTCCGGTTTTCTGGTGGTTTATTGGAGATAGGAGTCTCACAGTCTCTCCTGCCCGGGCTGGCTTTGAACTGCGATCCTCAGATCTCAGCCTCCTGAGTAGCTAGGATTACAGGCGTGAGTCACCAGCGCCCGGCTCTACACCAAGTCTTTAAGGGTTTTTGTTTATTTCAAAGCTATTAATATTGTCCTTGTTTGATCAGCCTCCAGGATGGAAGACACTTTTCTCTTCCAAGGTCTGAGGAACCTTAGTTTTAGAGTTTGGCACACAGCACCACCCTTCCCCCTGACTCCACTTCTCTTGATGGTTGAGTCCTCCATCTGGGCTCATCCTTCTTCATCCCAGAGAAGACCTGCAGTCTGTTGGGCCTGCCTTGAATCACTAAATCCCTTTTCTCTGAATGCTTCGTGCCTCCTGTACAGTCCCCAGGAGTCTACATACCTTGGGCTGCAGTTGCTTCTGGAAAGAGGGAAGCCTCGCTCTTGATCACTGCAGATGGACACACCCCCCAAGGCTCCTCACCCCCAAAATTCTAAGTTGCCTGGGTGGAGACATCTCTTGTCCTCTTCTCTTGACTGGCAGGTGGGAGTCGTTCAGTATGGAGAAGACGCAGTCCATGAGTTTCACCTCAATGACTACAAGTCTGTAAAAGACGTGGTGGAAGCTGCCAGCCATATTGAGCAGAGAGGAGGGACCGAGACCCGGACAGCGTTTGGCATTGAATTTGCTCGGTAAAATTATATGTACACATCTAATCTCAGATATGGTGCTAGCTGTCTGTCCCTGTGCAGGAAACATCGCGAAAAGTGGTGCCAAGATGGTCATTTATAGACCCCTTAGAGCTCAGCAGGTAGACTGGGTTCAGTCTTCCTGTTGATACCATCTGGGTGTCAGCTGGCACTGTTGGGTCTGAAGCTCACCTGGCGTCCGGCTCATGTGGCTGTCCAAGTTTGCTGGCTGCTGGCTGGGCGTTTGGCAGAGGCTGGTAATATGTGCTTCCCACATGGGGCCACAGGACCTGCCACACAGGGCCATGGGGTCTGATGGCCCATGTTGGGACCTTTGAGTTCTGAGAGGGAGCATCTTGAACTCATGTGTCCCGAAGGCCCAGCAAGTTATGGGGAGAGAGGGGGACTGCCTGTGACCTGGTATCCAAGCTCCAGAGTTGACTGCCATATCCTAATCCATCAGACAAGTTCCTCAGGCCCAGCACAGACTGGTGGGGAAGAGAATGTGGCTGTGGCCAACTCTGCCACTCAATGGGGAACGGCAGAGGGCCCGGGGATGGAGATTCTATGGCACTGATTTGGGGACTCATGCTCTGCCACAGCCAGCCTACGGAGGATGTGAGCTCAATGAGGGAAACGCCATGACTGATGGTGTGGAAAGAACATGGATAGATCTAATACATGAGGTTGTAGTGAGACTTGTTCCTTCCCTCACCCCAGAATCCACTCATCCACATGAATGCTACCAGAAGGCACAGGTGCATTCCAGTAACATAGTACCTGTCCCAGAGAAATTTGCCAGGTCTTGTTGTTGTTGTTGTTGTTGTCTGGGCGCTGTCCTTCAGCTCTTCAGCTCAGGCGAGCGCTCTACCACTTGAGCCACAGCATCACTTCCAGTTTTCTGGTGGTTTATTGGAATAAGAGTCTCATGGACTTCCCTACCCAGGCTGGCTTTGAACCTCAATCCTCAGATGTCAGCCTCCTGAGTAGCTAGGATTACAGGTGTAAGCCATCAGTGCCTGGCTGAAAATGGCCAGTTTTAAAGGCCAGTCCCCAAGACCTCAAGCCAAGGCCTAGACTCCTAAGTTGACTATTTCTGTTACCTTCTGTTCTATGACCTTCATTGAGACCCCAGTTCTATACCATATGGTCCCGCCTCCTTCATGGCTGGCCAACGTATTAGAGCCATTTAGTGTGTCCTGGATGTCATGTAGCTAAAAGAATCTCCCTCTGCTAGGTTAGGCTGAAATCCTAATCTTCCCTGATCATGGTGCTAAGGATGCTTCTGCAGCCCTCCTCCAGTAGCCCATACTAGATCAGAGAGGTATATGTTTAAGTCAGCCATGTCCAGAATATCAGGCTGCTGTTACAAGAATGCCAGATGAATTTTCCTCATCACTAGTTTCTTAGGAAGTTCTAAACTAACTCAGTGCAGGTTTCATGAATTCCTCAACATCCGATGCCCAGCGCATCTGATTGCCATCTATACACAAGATGTCTGCTAAACCTCTGGTCCTTGACCCCGGCATAGAGCTCAGATCTGAAAGCCGCCCTTCCTGACGCTTTGTCAGGAATCACCACAGAGGGATCACCACAGAGCTCAAAAGCCATGTTTATTTTTAAATCCTCACTGGGAACTTCTACCTTCCAGACCAGACTTTTGGGCGAGATTAGGTCTATTCTTCTCAGAACCCTGTGGGGTGAAGGAGGGCTAGCTACAGAGGCTCCAAAGAGTGTTTCCACACTTTGTAGTGGGATTGCCAGCATTTAAAATAAGGGCCTTTTTCTGGTTGGGTGTGCCCTGCTATCTCTTGGACTGCACAGAATAACAGGTAAAGAGAGCTCATGCTGTAATCACTGACTATAAAATGAAAACGAACAATAGAAATATTTTCCATGGAGCTGGATGCCAGTAGCTCATGCCTGTAATGCTAGCTGTTCTGGGGGCTGAGATCTGAAGAGTGTGGTTCAAAGCCAGCCCCGGCAGAAAAGTCTGTGAGACTCTTATAAACCACTCAGAAACTGGAAGTGGTGCTGTGGCTCAAGTGGTAGAGCGCTAGCCTTGAGCAAAAGAGCTCAGGGACAGTGCCCAGGCCCTGAGTTCAAGCCCCATGACTGACAAAGAAAAAGAAAAGAAATATTTCCCATGCAATTTGAGATTTAGTATTTCCTCAAATAGCAGCTTTTCTTGTGGGAGAGTCAGTGTTGGTCAAACTGCATCCAATGTTCTGTGTTGACATCGCAGCAACCCTGGGCCCTAATTTCTGGGTCCTTAGAGAAGCGATAGGAGAATAAATGCTTTGTAGAACTTTCAAAAAATACATTATGCCAACACCAGACCCAAAGAGTCTAATTGCATGGATCTGTGTGGGAAATGGGCGTGAATTATGTTTTAAATGTCCTCTAAGAAGGTCTAATGTGCAGCTAGGTGTTATATGTATATGTGTTTGTTTGGGGTTTTTTTTCTGGTCATGGGGCTTGAACCCAGGGCCTGGAGCTCTTTTGCTCAAGGCAAGTGCTCTTCCACTTTGAGCCCACAGCTCCACTTCTGGTTTTCTGGGGGTTAATTGGAGAAAAGCTACCAGGGCCAGCTTCAAATCACAATCCTCAGATCTCAGCCTCCTGAGTAGCTAGGATTACAGGTGTGAGCTACCCGTGCCTGACTGCAGCTGGGGTTTTGAACTACTAACTTAGCTTCCCAAAGCGGGGTCTTGTGCACCTCTCCTCCTGCTGCCCTAATGGCCCCGAACAGCAAGCTCAGGAGTCTATAAACACATGGATCCAAGCCCTACCTGGGAAGCTGGTGAAGGGTGGTTCTGACCATGCCAGCCAGATGCTTTGGTATGAGGTCCAAAGATGCTGGCTTGTTGAGTTTCCAAGAGGTCCCAGCCCTGGCTCCCACAGTTGCCCTTCCCCCACCTTCCTCTCACCACCTGCCCTGTCCCTGTACCCTGTTCCAGCTCGGAGGCATTCCAGAAGGGTGGAAGGAAAGGGGCCAAGAAGGTCATGATTGTCATCACAGATGGGGAATCTCATGACAGCCCGGACCTGGAGAGGGTGATCCGGCAAAGCGAGAGGGACAATGTGACCAGATACGCCGTAGCCGTGAGTCCTACCCCACCCACCCTGTGTGGCTGAGAGCCCCACCCCACCCAAGGGTTCTGGCAACACTCAGGGGCTTAACCCTGACACCCCTGGAGACCCTCGAATCCATGAGGATCTCAGCACCGCCTGGGCCTGTCCACGGAGTTGTGGGTTTGTTTCTTCTTTCCTTTGCCAGGGAGTTTCAGAAACCTCAACATGCAGAAAATACCCCAGCCTCCCAAGGCCCAAATCCCAGCTTAGCAAAAGGACCCACAAAGAGAATCTGGAGGCGTGGCTCACAGGCAAAAGCATCAGCTTAGGAAACTAAGCTCCTGAGATCAAACTCCAGTTAACTGCCAAAAAGAAGAAGAAGAAGGAAGAAGAAAGGAGAGGAAGAAGGCGAATGAAGGAGAAGAAGAAAGAAGAAGAAGAGGAAGGAGAAGAAGAGGAAGAAGAGGAAGGAGAAGGAGGAGGAGGAGGAGGAGGAGGAGGAGGAGGAGGAGGAGGAGGAGGAGGAGGAGGAGGAGGAGGAGGAAGACTCTGGTGGCTCACCTGTAATCCTAACTATTCAGGAGACTAAGATCTGAGGACTGTAGTTCAAAGCCAGCCCAGGCAGGAAAGTCCATGAGACTCTTACCTCCAATTAACCACCAGAAAACTGGAAGTGGAGCTGTGGCTCAAAGCGGTAGAGTGCTAGCCTTGAGTGAAAAGAGCCTCAGGGATAGTGGCCAGGCCCTAAATTCAAGTCCCACAGCTGGCAAAAAAAATAAGGAAAGAAGGAAGAAAGAAAGCCAGGTACCAGCCACCAAAAAGTCAGAAGTGGTGCTGTGGCTCAGTTGGTAGAGCATAAAAAAAGCTCAGGGATAGTGCTCAGGCCCTTAGTTCAGGACTGGCATGCGCACGCACACACACACACACACACACACACACACACACACACACAAATGACCCCTTGAAGAGTGGCTACTGGACAGTCCTGGCTCCTTCCTACCGCAGGGGACTCCTGGCTGTGCCAAGTCCTAGCTTGTTCACCTGCTCCTCTTCCCTGGCAGGTCCTGGGTTACTATAACCGCCGGGGGATCAATCCAGAAACTTTTCTGAGTGAAATCAAATACATCGCCAGCGACCCTGACGACAAGCACTTCTTCAATGTCACCGACGAGGCGGCCCTGAAGGACATCGTGGATGCCCTGGGAGACAGGATCTTCAGCTTGGAAGGTAAGTCAGGCCTGTGGAGGTCTCCACACTCCTGAATGGTGGAAATCCAATCCCCACAAGCACAGTAGCTTTAGCCAGAGTCCTCACTCAAGCCAAAACGCCTGGATGCATTATAATGTAAAAACACCTGGCAAACCTAGCTTGAGCCCAGAGGGCCTGACTCCATAGGCTGGGAGGGCCACTGCCTGTCCAACACCACTGCTGTGCAAACTGGAAAATCATCATCAGGACAAAGGCACCTGAGATGCCCTGCAAAGAATTCCATTTGCATAATCCTGCTTGCTCTCTGTAGTGCTGTAATGGGCCTTTCCAACATTGGGCTCTGGGGCATAGAAGAGACCACAAAAATCAAGAGAAGGCCGTGTTCTAGAACCCGAGAAATCTGCAGCGCCTTGAGAATGACAAGCTGCAGACACCAAAGAGAGCTCAAGAGATGCAAAGGTTGGAACACGAGCCTTGACTCGCATGCCAGCACTGAAATGTCCAAACCAGCAGACTGGAAGCAGATTAAAGCAGTCGCCTTGGGTGATGGTCCATCATGGCGATGCTGTGTGTGGGGAGGCCCCTGTGGCGGGGCTGTGGGTGCCCAGTGGCTTTCTTGCACAGCTTTGTAGGTATCCATCCTCCTTCCTGAGAGTCAGGGTAATGAGTTGGAACTGCCCAAAGGTGTCTGGAACCAAACCTCACACACACACACACACACACACACACACACACACACACACACACACACACACACACACACACACACACACACACTGGGCTGACCTCTCTCTGTTCTTGTTCCAGGCACCAACAAGAATGAAACGTCCTTCGGGCTGGAGATGTCACAGACCGGCTTCTCCTCGCATGTGGTGGAGGTATGGACGGCGCTGGCCTCCCTCGGTCCCCCCTGCATGCACTTCCTACCCTTCCAAGCTCTCAGGCCTCTCCGGGAGCATCCATCTCTTTATCCCTTTTTCTTGGAGTCTCTCTGCTTCCTAGAACCTTCTGGGCCAGGAAGAGATCTTCAACTTAACTTCTATTGTCTCCATCGCTTGCCCAAATCAAGCTCACTGTATGGAATCAGCACAGTATATCTGTAGCGTGCTGGGAACATTTCTCCCTAGGACCAAGGATCTCATTCCACCCATGGTATCTTGTTCGAGAACAGAGTCGGGTGCCAATGCTGACCACAGGCCTGATAGTTCTGGCAGCTGTGCATTGGGGCAGCTGCCTGGGGTGCTGGGGAGAAGGAGGGGATCTGAAGCCTCCTGCAATTACCAGAGAGCAGAGTTGATGTCCTGAAACACTTCACAAATACAGTGAAGTCCGACCTAAAGTCCTACATGGGAAATATGCCCACGATATGTGTCTGGGAGAAACAGGCACCCTGTGTGTGGACACACATGTGCACTGTGTGTGCATCTGAATATGTTTGTGTGGTGTGTCATGTGTGCTGTGTTGTACACACATGTGCACATGTGTGCATGCTCACTCCTCAGGCTGGCACTCCGGGAATATGCTCTGTTCATTTGCTAGTTCGTGCCAGTTCCTTGTCCCATGATCCCCCACTCCCAGCTCTTCTGTGATGGGGGCAGGATTCCTTGTTCCCAGTTCACAGACAGAGAAGTTGAGTCTCAGAGAGGCACGTGTTCTGCTGCAGCGAAACTAATGAGAAAAACGCCAGTGCCCTCCTGTCCCCCCTCACTCCACAGCTGGTCTGTAGAGAACAGAGGCTCTCAGGGGGTCTGACTCAGAAATCCCAGATTGGAGGGGAGCGGGCACCACACACCAGGCAGCAGGCAGATGGGCCGAAGCACGACACTCAGATCTTCCTGAGTTACATCTGGGCTACGTCAGGGCCACTGGCCTGAACACAGCAAGATGCACATGTCATAGACTATGTGCATCTCAGCAGAGCACTGCTCAGAGGAGCCCTGAAGGCCATGATGGTGACTCTGGTTGAGATAGTTGGCTCCATTCATCTTTTCCATGCTTTCTCTGTGCTGGGCACAGGAATCAGAGATCTGGCCTCCTTGAGCAACACCTGGAGGATGAAGAGCCAGGCACAGAGAAGGAAGAGCTCCCCTTCTCCCCCTCTTCCCGGGCTGGCATGAGATCAGGCAGTGACTTGTGCTCTGTCAGGACTGGCGGAGGCCTTCTGAGTACACGGAGCCCAGACCACAGACCTGGGGTGTCCAGGATGCCACAAATATGGGGACCTACATGGGGCCTGCAGAGCTGGGAACGCTGCTCCTCCCCATCAAGGCTCTGCAGAGTGCCTGAGGTCTTATCCGAGATCTGCCGTGGGGGGTCTTCCCGTGCCCTCCCCACGGCCCCCCTCTTGGCGAGAGTCTCCCTGCCCCAAACTCTTAGGGTCACTCTTCTATCCTGGTCCAAGGCCTAGCTGCTGCCAGGTTACAGGGGCAGCAAGAGCCTAGAGCGCCCCCTGGCTGATAATTGCCAGAATGGCAGTCCCCGCAGAAACTCCTGAACTCCAAACCCAGAGAGAGCCAGGGGTCCTGGCAGGAGCCACCACCCGCCCTGCTCAGTGCAGCACTGAGTACAGGGGGAGCCTCTCGTGGAAGCTCATCTTCCAAAGCCCCTCCCCAGGCTGTCTGCACACAGAGGAGGGGAAGCCAGATCTGGAATAATGGACTCTTCCCAGAGAGGGCTCGATGGAGAACTGGAACCAGGAGAACTCTCGGATATTCTCCTCCTCCACACACCTTGTTGGGCACAGCCCTGCTTCTAGCTGTCTGTGTCCCTTCTCCTCTCCGAACCTCAGCTTCTGGTGTCTCATATTTCAGATCATGAACAGTGTGTCTTCTCACAGGGCTTTTGTGGGTCCCCATGGGGGGGCCGGATGAGAACATTGTCCTCATGAACGGGGTGCCAGGGATGTTGGCAGTGACTAGACCTCGGGATGAGGGAGGCCCCGGCCCAAATCCTGTCAGGGCCCTGTCCGAGCCTCCCACATGAAGGGTAATTAGGCAGCGCAGTGTTAAACATAATCAAGCCTCCAACTCTCCCAAGGCCGGCTTATTGATGGTTGCAAAAGCCTGTCTGAACCATCAGACCTGACCCTGGAGCACCCACAGGCTTAACCCTTTGCATCTGCAACAACAAAGGAACCATGAACACCCTCAGCGGGCCAGCTCACCAAGAGCTGATGGAGAGAAAGGTGGGCAGCTGCCCTCACCCCCAAATCACCAAGGAAAGGGACTTCCTGGCCATCTGGCCTCTGATAAATTGTCCTCTTTCCAGTGCCTCTCAGGGCTCTCATCTGCTGTGCCCACAACCATATAGATGGTTTGTGCTGGATGAACAGGGCTCAGGGAGTGGAAAGCAGGGCCCGGCTCCCAGGAATGGAGCATAAAGTCCCCTCCCTAACTGAGCTTCCTGCTTCCCTGTCAGGCAGGGGATACAACCACCTGGCCCTGCATCTGGTGGGCAGATCAAGAGGTGACAAGAGGGGACCCCAGAGGGGTTTGGAAGCCCAGAGAGGAGTGAGGTTTCTCTTGTGGCTTCAAGTTCATTTCTAGAACGTTGCTTCTTTTCTAAACTCCCTTGAACCATTCTGCACTGAGGATCAGAAGGAAAGTCACCTCTGAGCCTCCTTCTCACCCGAGAGCCCATCGGGAGCAAGGTCTTTGGCACATGACCCCTGGGAAAGGTGCCCTCCACGCCGGGCAGTGTGGCACTGCTCACAGGACCTGGGACGGCTCTGGAACAGGGTCTGATTGGGTCCCCTCCCCGTGCCAGGATGGGGTTCTGCTGGGAGCGGTCGGCGCCTACGACTGGAATGGGGCTGTGCTGAAGGAGATGAGTGGTGGCAAGGTCATCCCTCTCCGAGAGGCCTACCTGAAGGAGTTCCCTGAGGAGCTGAAGAACCACGGCGCCTACCTGGGTGAGGCAGTGGGTGGCAGAGGGAGAGGAGGCCCTGGGGCACAGGACCCCGTGCACGCTCAGGCTGAGAGGAGTCTATACTAGCTGATGGGCACAGTCCTGTAGGACAGTCCCAGGCCTGAGTATGGGTCAGGGCCGGCTCCTCTCCAGCACCACCAGCAAGATAAACTCTCCATGATAGGCAGAATCGGTGCCATGCTACCCCCATAGCAGAAATCCATCTCCGCTGGGGCTGCTAGACTCTCAGCTGTGGCTTTGATTCCAGCCTGGGCCACAGTATGGTGACCCTTATAGGAATAAGTACCAGCTGAGCCAGAACCCACCTCCTCCTCACGAAGCCCTGTTCACAAGGGGACTTGCCAAACCCACACAGGGCCCAGGATAGAAGCCAGCACACGGACCAACCCGTGTTCTCTTGTGGCAGGGTACAAGGTGACATCCACCTGTGTCCCCTCATGGCAGGGAACACAGAGACACCTCTCTGTTTCCTCTCGTGACAGGGTACACAGTGACATCCATCGTGTCCTCCAGGCAGGGCCGGGTATACGTGGCAGGAGCCCCCCGGTTCAACCACACGGGCAAAGTCATCCTGTTCACCATGCACAACAACCGCAGCCTTACCATCCACCAGGCTCTGCGGGGCGAGCAGGTAAAGGAAGGGAGGCTGTTGTGGGAAGGCCAAGGCCCAGGTGGCACACAGGGTAGGCAGCAGGAAGGTGTCTCAGGCTGGTACCCTCCATAAGAAACCTCAGGACCTCCAGTGCTCTCCTTGAGTGGGGTCTCATTCCATCGTCACCTGACACATATCGTATATCATGTATATCATGTGTCATCTGCTCACACACATCAGCACCTGACAGTGTGGAAGTTGTACTCTCCCCTCTCCACCTGACAGCCGTGGACTGGGCCTTGGCCCTGTTGTAGCAGGTGAAGCTTGAATTTCTCCCCCTGGACCTCTCTTCTCTGGAGTGCTGTCCAGATCCCAGCTACTGCCCACCATCCCTTTCTGGGGTGTGCTAGAGTGTAGGCTGTCAGGCCCCAGGACGCACACAGACAGACACCCTTCAGGCCCCTTCATGCTGCCCAAAGTGTTGCATTCACCGCAGATGGCCAAGGGGCCACCAGAAAGCAGTGGACAACACTGTGATTTGGTTGGCAGCCAGCCTGTTGCTGGGCCGGTGTGGGTCAGTCATGAGTAGAAAGCTCGGATAAGGCATTGGGGTGAAAAGGAGGTCAGAAGTTGTTTTGGTAGCTCCCCAGGGGAAGTGGGCTGCCTCAACCCTCCCCTTCTTCCCTGTGTGCCACAGATAGGTTCCTACTTCGGGAGTGAGATCACATCAGTGGACATCGACGACGACAATGTGACGGACGTCCTGCTGGTGGGCGCCCCAATGTACTTCAGCGAGGGCCATGAGCGTGGCAAGGTGTACATCTACAACCTGAGACAGGTATTGCAGAGCCGTGAGTGCAGCAAGGTGTACATCACAACTGGAGACAGGTGCCACAGGGCCCTGCACACAGCAAGGTGTACATCTACAGGCTGGGACAGGTGTTACCAGCCATGGCTTTGACTTGAGGTACCAAGAGCAGCTGGTGCCACCAGGAGCTGGACCTTGGTGGGGGGGGGAGGTGGTAATTAGAGTCCTGTCTGGATCTGGGCTTGTGTCACCAGTGTCCTGGAGAAGGGACACATACAGGTAGGGCCCTGGGTACAGATGCAGGGAGTTGTGGCCCTGAAGGCCTGTGCCTGGCCCTGAGCCCTTCCGCGTGCGGCCTTGGGTTTGCAGGGCCGGTTTGTCTATAACGGAACTCTGAAGGATTCCTACAGCTACCAGAATGCCCGGTTTGGCTCATCCATCGCCGCTGTCCGAGACCTCAATCAAGACTCATACAATGACGTGGTAGTGGGGGCCCCGCTGGAGGATAACCACAGAGGGGCCGTCTACATCTTCCACGGCTGCCCAGGCAGCATTCTGAAGAGGCCCAAGCAGGTGAGGCCTGGGGGAGGGAAGGTGGAAGCAGAATGCTGTGCAGAGTAGCGCCGGCGTGTTCACAAGGCTCAGGTGTGCTCACGGTGCAGGTGTGCCCACAGCCCAGGTGTGTCCACAGCTGTGCCCACCTCAAGTCAAATCTCACCTTGGGCAAGTTGCATCTCCTGATCTTCCCATCCACACAAGGACCCACACCATGCCCTGCTCCTCTGGCATGTTTCCACATAGTCGACGGCAGGTAGAGAGCTCAAACCTAGGCAAAAGGCTTTGTGGAAATGCACCTGGCTACCAGCCCAGCCGCAGTCCCCAGCCAGGGTGACCTGCGCATTTACTATAACATGTAACCATCCTGAAGTTTGAGGTGTGCATGGATTGCCTGTGATGTATCCTGACACGCAGTATGGAAACTTTTCAAGACAATATTGTAACTCAGAAGCATGCCTCTAAGCAGGAGGAGTTTCCAGTGCTGTGACAGGCCAGGGCAGAGACTACCATGGGCCGGGGCCAACTCCCCCCCTACCCCCCCCAGCCCAGCACCCCTTGTGGGGTCTGCTGCCTAGAGCTGCCGCCCAGCCTGGCCCACACCCACAGTGAACACTCTGTCTTTGCTTTCTCTCAGAGAATCACCGCATCAGAGCTGGCCCCAGGCCTCCAGTTCTTCGGCTGCAGTGTCCATGGGCAGCTAGACCTCAATGAGGATGGACTGGTAGACCTGGCTGTGGGCGCCCTGGGAAGCGCGGTCATTTTGTGGTCAGTTCCCTGGCTCCTCCCTGTTCTCCTGGGGTTCAGTGCATAGAGGGGTGAAGGACATTCCCTAGGGTCTTTGTAACAACTCCCTGCTGGCCAAACACACTCTGCTCCTACCCCAGCTGACTACCACCAGTCTCCTTGTTTTGGAATCCCGTAAGCTTTCTTGAGATCCAAACCCCTACCCCTCTTCTTGATGTATCTCTTGGACTTCAGACAAACCTGGCATGCAAAAGCTCCTCTTTTGCTGGGTGTCGGTGGCTCACGCCTATAATCCTAGCTACTCAGGAGGCTGAGATTGCAGTTCAAAGCCAGCCCAGGCAGGAAAGTCAGTGAGACTCTTATCTCCAATTAATCACCAGAAAACCGGAAGTCGCACTGTGGCTTAAGTGGGAGAGCACTCGCCTTGAGCTGAAGAGCTGAGGGACAGCGCCCAGGCGCAGAGTTCAGGCCCCAAGGCAACCAAAATAATAAGGAAGGAAGGAAGGAAGGAAGGAAGAGCCCTTCTTTTGTCCTAGCATCTGTCCTAAAAGCTTTGGCTTTTCAGAAGTTCCTCCCTCTTGAGGTTCTAATGGGTCAAGTTGCCAGTGTCTTAGTCTTCCTTCTCCTTGAGGGAGGGGTGTATGTGATGTGGGGCTTCGTACCCCAGCCCTTCTGGCCTCAGATCCCTCCCCAGAGCACTTCCTAGAGGCCCGCGGCCCTGCTGTATGTTGACTACTTTTAGATTTAAAAACAAAAAAGCAAAACATAGCCATGCCTGTTGGCATTGGTCCTGGGGTCCAGCCTGGGCTTTGAGACTCATTCAGGGCTGGAAACCTTGCATTGAACAGTGATGAGGGGCAAGGCAAGGTCAGTGGGGCTCACGCAGGCACAGCTCTGGGACTAGGAGGCTGTTAAGCCCACCTGTCCATGGGTTTTGGTCCAATCAGCAATAGCCAAGGTTCCTCTGCCCTCCCCTCTCCCCCCCCCCCCCCCCCCGCTGAATATTTACCTTTTCCCCTGTTCACTAGAATATCTACCTCTCCCTGCTAGCCTCCCCCCAGCTCACCTGCCCCCCTAGCCCTACCCCACCCCAGCTCACCGGTCTCTTCTCCAGGGCCAGGCCTGTGGTGCAGATCAACGCCAGCCTCTACTTTGAGCCATCCAAGATCAACATCTTCCACAAAGACTGCAAGCGCAGTGGCAGGGATGCCACCTGCCTGGCTGCCTTCCTCTGCTTCACACCTGTCTTCCTGGCACCCCATTTCCCAGCAGCAACTGTAGGTAAGGCAGGCCCCTGCGTCCCCACCCCCAGATCTGTCTCCCCAGTCTTTCAGATGGCTGTGTGCCACAGCCTGGGCTTTGTTAAGTGCCAGGTAGCACTTAGAGCCAGCTTTGACACTCTCTCTCCCCCCCCCCCACCCCAACCCAGAGGACTTGTGACATTGCCAGGGTGGCAGTCAGCAGAGATGATCCTCCCCCTGCCCTTAGAGATGATGGGGAAGGAGCTAGTCTGGGTGCAGTTTGGGCACAGGACTGAAGGCAGGGTGGTACAGAAGCCAGAGGAGTTGGCCTGGTTATAGAAGAAGACAGAGCTAGCTGACAGGGAGCAGCTAGGAGCCAGGGCCAGACACACAGGCCATGGTTACCCCCCAGCTGGGAGTATGGGCTCAGGCAAGGTGGTTTTCTTTTGATGCCCATCCTTCCCCCTACAGCTAGGGCCAAACCTGCTCACTACAGCCTGGGCCTGAAAGCCAAGGCTGCATGTCCAGGTCCTGCTGGGCTGACACAGGAAGAGGAGTAGCATGTAGCTTTCAGCCAAGGCACAGGACCAGGAGGGGAGGGAAAGAGTCTCATGGAAGAGAAGGACCTGGGAAATCCCAGGCCACTGTGCCCTCCTTCGAGTTTCACCTGAAAAAGGAAAGGGGGATTTGAGGGCAGGGACAGCCAGGGGGTCCGAAGGTTGGCATGATATTCTGCTAGATTAGGGTCGAGGAAGCTGTAGGCCTTAAACCCCAGAGTAGAGTCAGAAGTCTAAGGAGATCTCCTAGGGGCAAAGTCCCACCCACCCCTACATAGAGGGGCCCAACCAGCCCAGGGAGACCCCAGAGCATGGCGTGGGGAGGAGAGTAGAGAGGGAACTTCCAGCAGGCTGAGCATACCAGGCCCTCACCCTGGCTCCTCTATGGGTGTTGATGTTTCCTCCTCTTTTTCTCCCCTCTTTTTCTTTTTTTCTTTTTCTGTTTTGTCAGTCATGGGGCTTGAACTCAGGACCTTGGTGTCGTCCTTGAGATTTTTCCACTCAGGGCCAGCGCTCTACCACTTTGAGCCACAGCACCACTTCTGATTTTCTGGTGGTTCTTTGGAGATAAGAATCTCATGGACTTTCCTACCCGGGGCTGGCTTTGAACCGCAAGCCTCAGATCTCAGCCTCCTGAGTTGCTAGGATGATAGGTGTGAGCGACTGGTATCCGGCTCCCTCTTTTCTTCCTCTCTGGTGCATCTTCTTCTCTCCTCCTCTGCCTCCCTGTCCTCTTCAGTCCCTTCCTCCTTACCCGAACACAGCCACAGCCCCCCTCCGGGAAGCTTCGGGCCTGTGGAGGGGGAAAGTCTGCTCCTGTCTAGGGGAAGTGGCTGTTTTGTAAGAGCAGCAAGTGGTTTGGGGTGGGATCGAGGCCCCAGCTGCCTGGTCTTGCCCTCTCTTTCCAGGCATCAGGTACAATGCCACTATGGACGAGAGGCGGTACATGCCAAGGGCTCACCTGGATGAGGGAGGGGACCAGTTCACCAACCGGGCTGTCCTGCTGTCCTCTGGCCAGGAGCACTGTCAACGCATTAACTTCCACGTCCTGGTGAGCCTGGCTCCATCAGCAGGGTCTAGGCACCTACATTGGTGGGGAGGAAAGGGAAGGGAGACACAGAACTAGAGGAGAAGCTGCTGTAGGAGAGGGGTGTGCCAGGCACATTCAGACCCTGGGAGAAGAGCTAGGGGCCAGTGTTCATGACCTTGCCCCTCCCCAACCCCACCTCAGGCCCTGGAGTAATGTCCTTGAGCATAACCACCTGACCCTCCCTCCCCATGGCTTCCTTAGTGCCAAGTGAGGTCCAGGAGAGAGCTGGATCGAACAGATATAAGGAAAGAGCAGGGCCCTAGTGGAGCCCTGGATTAGAAGGGCAGACAAGCAGGCATAGGCTGAAGACATAGGCTGCTTGAGGGGATGAAGGGTGAGTAGTTGCTTCATGAAACCTCCAGGTAACTGAGCTGGCACAGGCTGAGTCATAGCCCCTACACTTTGCACCTGCAGAGCTCCATAGAAGCCTCTGTCCCCCACCCTCCACCCCATGACAGACTGAGGGAGACCAGGCCACAGCCTCTCCCAGTTCAGAGGAGACCTCGTGGTGACTGGGCCCAGGAAATGGTGCTCTCTGAAGCCCTGTCCTCCTCTGGCCCACAGGACACTGCCGACTACGTGAAGCCCGTGGCCTTCTCAGTCGAGTATGTGCTAGAAGACCCTGACCATGGCCCTATGCTGGACGACGGCTGGCCCACCACACTCAGAGTCTCGGTATGGCCTGGTACATTCCAGCACACACCTCATCCCACCACCAGGCCTCCTGTCCCGACAGACAGACAGACAGACAGACACACATACACATATGCATGCATGCCTGCACACATTCACACTACAGGTGTGCATGCACATTCATAAACACGCATGCACATCTGTGTGTGTTCATGCTGTGCACACAAGTACATGCACACATGTGCACAGAGACAAACGCGTGCATGCACACACAGTGCCCCAGGCTGGGACCAGGCATTTCTCATCCCTATAGCCTCGACATGGAGTCCCAAGACCATAGGGCCCTGCGTTCTTAATCTCCTGCCCCCCACTTTATGAATAGATGTGGACATGAGACCACTTGGAGCCTGGCCTTCTGCATGGTCGGTGACCAGCAGACCCCCCTCAGTCTGCTCTGAGCCATTCCCAAAGAAAGTTTTAGCCTCTCGCCAGCCCCACCCAACCACACATTTTTAGCTTGGGCTCTGGACACTGGGAGTCTGTTTCCTGACACCCGATGCACCCTGTAGCTGCGTGAAAAGGCCAGGCAACTCTCGGTTGTGTCTGAGGAAGCTGGGAGGGCAGGCGAGGGCTGTGGAACAGTGTCTGCCAGCTGAGGGTTAGAAAGTGGTTTTGAGATGAAATAATACACATCGTAATGACTTCCCAAATCAATGCATCAGAGCATGCGTGAGCCCCAGCCTTGGGGTCCCGTCACTGAGCGACGTCTCTGAGGGCCACTGAGTGTACACGTGGTTCCAGAATTGCACGAGCTGTTGCCTGGATTTGGCAAAAGGATCACAGGTGCAATGGCAGCTCTTCTGGCCTCCTTTCCTGGCCTCCTCTCACCCAGCCTCCTCTCCCAATCTCTAATCCTCTACCTCTGTCAGCCATGCCCAACGCTACTACCACCAAGCCCTCCCCCTCCCCCTCCTCTCCCTCCCTAGGCTCCTCGGGCCAGGTTATTGCATTGCTTTCAGACTCCTAAACCCCCATGGCTGATGTCTGAGGGGCTCCCCATGCCTGAAGCCCTTGGTGACCCCTGACCCCGGCTTCTCTCTTCTCTCCTCCACCCAAGTCCCTTTCTATAGTTCCACACTGAACTTCCCATGCCCAGCAGGCTATATTCGCCCCAGGACCTTTGTGACTGGCCCATCCTTCCAGCTTCTCAGGCTGGCTAGTGAACTCATTCATCCTCCATCTACTACCTCTTCCTGGAAGCCCTCTCAGACCACTGACAGCCTAAAGGACCATTTATCCTCTCCACCTCTATTTCTTTTTTTTTTTTTGTCGGTCATGGGGCTTGAACTCTGGGCCTGGGCACTGTCCCTCAGCTCTTCAGCTCAAGGCTAGCACTCTACCACTTAAGCCACAGCGCCACTTCTAGTTTTCTGGTGGTTCATTGGAGATAAGAGTCTCACGGACTTTCCTGCCCAGGCTGGCTTTGAACTGCGATCCTCAGATCTCAGCCTTCTGAGTAGCTAGGATTATAGGTGTGAGCCAGGGACGCTCGGCTCTGCCTCTGTTTCTTATGTTTCTACTCTGTTTGGTTCTCTGCACACTTCACGCTGCGGTTCCCTGTTCACATGCCAGTCTTCCCCCGTGGGCTGAGGGCAGATGCTCCCCCTTCCTCACCCTGTATTCTCAGCACTAAACACTCTGCCCACACCAGCTGGATTACACCTGCCGGGGCCAAGAGGAGCTAAGCTTTGCACCGAGTCTTGGAAGGTAGAGAATCTGCAGTGAGGGCAATTGAAAGGAGGAGTCCAGAGAAAGGGCAGGGCAGGCAGAGCCCTGTCTGCAGTTCAGGGGCAAAGGCTAGCGTGCATTAAGCTCAAGGACCTGCAGCAAAGGCTAGGACTGGAGGCCGTGACCTCTTCTCCACCACCCACTGCTGGCTCTCATTGGCCCAGGTGCCTTTCTGGAATGGCTGCAATGAGGATGAACACTGCGTTCCTGACCTCGTGCTGGACGCCCGGAGCGACCTGCCCACGGCCATGTACGTTGCTGCTCCCCAACGCCCACCCCTCCCCGCTGCTCTAGGGTTCCCAGGCCCTGATGGCTATCACACACCTGGCTTGTAGGCAGTGTGCATCAGGTACTGAACCTGGAGCCTGGGTTCTAGCCCGGGCTCCGCTTCCACCTCCTACGTGAGCTCAGGCAAGTACCCTCCTCTCGTGCCCGGCCTCCGTTACTGACTGTCAAAGTGAAAGGGAGGAGTTCTTCCTTTGGAACCTAAACTACAAAATATGTGCAGAGTGGATCCAGGGGTCCTGGCTTGGGGTGCTGGTGTCTAACCCCCCAGTCAAAGTCACCACAGAGGTCAACGGCTGAACCCCTGGGCTTTCTGACCTCTCTATAGAAAGATGCAGAGGGCTGGGAAGGTGGCTTAGTAGTAGAGTGCTTGCCTAACATGCATGAAGCCCTGGGTTCCATTCCTCAGTACCACATACACAGAAAAGCCACAAGTGGTGCTGTGGCTCAAGTGATAAAGTGCTAACCTTGATCAAAAGAAGCTCAGGGACAGTGCCCAGGCCCTGAGTTCAAGTTCCAGGACTGGCAAAAGAAAGAAAGAAAGAAAGAAAGAAAGAAAGAAAGAAAGAAAGAAAGAAAGAAAGAAAGAAAGAAAGAAAGAAAGAAAGAAAGAAAGAAAGAAAGGAAAGAAAGAAGAAAGAAAGAAAGAAAGAAAGAAAGAAAGGAAAGAAAGAAAGAAAGAAAGAAAGAAAGAAAGGAAGGAAGGAAGGAAGGAAGGAAGGAAAGAAGGAAGGAAGGAAAGAAAGGAGGGAGGGAGGGAGGGAAGAAAGGAAGGAAGGAAGGGAAGGGAAGGGAGGGAGGGAGGGAGGGAGGGAGGGAGGGAGGGAGGGAGGGAGGGAAGGAAGGAAGGGAAGGGAAGAGAAGGGAGGGAGGGAGGGAGGGAGGGAGGGAGGGAGGGAGGGAGGGGCTGGGAAGGTGGCTCAGTGGTAGAGTGCTTGCCTTACATGCATGAGACCCTGGGTTCGATTCCTCAGCACCACATAAGAAAAAAGCCGGAAGTGGCACTGTGGCTCAAGTGGTAGAACACTAGCCTGGAGCTGAAGAGCTGAGGGACAGTGCCCAGGCCAAGAGTTCAGGCCCCACGATCAGACCCCAAAAAGAAAGAAAGAAAGAAAGAGAGAAAGAGAGAGAAAGAAAGAGAGAGAAAAAGAAAGAAAGAAAGAAAGAAAAGGAAAGAAAGAGATGCAAAGGCTGCATTAAGCTACAAGTTAATACACAAGGCAAACAAGTGAATATCCAATTTTAAATTGGTATAATAAATATTGCCACACTTTTTTGGTCAACTTTTTGCTAACTGTGAGATGATTTAGGTAAACTATGAGTACCACAACATAGACTACACATTTAAATAGCATAGCTGAACCTCACCAAAAGATGAAGAAGCCAGTCATGTAACCATCTAAGCTAGTCATCAGCATCACCTCTACATTTAGTTCTGAGCTTCCTGGCAGGCAAAGCTAAAAGGGAAGCGGGGCTAGTGGAAAGATGACACCTATGTTTAGGGAGGTCGAACTAAGAGCTCTCCTCCAGCCTGTAGTCCATCCCCCCCCCCCCTCTCTATTTTGTCAGTCGTGGGGCTTGAACTCTGGGCTTAGGCGCTGTCCCTGAGCTCTTCAGCTCAAGGCAAGCACTCTACCGCTTGAGCCACAGAGCCACTTCTGGTTTTCTAGTGGTTTACTGGATATAAGAGTCTCACAGATTTTCCTGCCTGGGCTGGCTTTGAACTGTGATCTTCAGATCTCAGCCTCCTGAGTAGCTAGGATGACAGGCGTGAGCCACCGGCGCCCAGCCCATTTTCCTTCTTGTCTAGTGATCACTCCCAGATTGGCAGAGCCCCATTCCCGTCATTCTGCACGTACCCTGCGGCTCCATCCTTCACGTCCCATTCCGCCTGCCTGATCCCCGGTCGTCTCTCCCACAGGGAGTACTGCGAGCGGGTCCTGAGGAGGTCTGCGCAGGACTGCTCCACGTACACGCTGTCCTTCGACACCACCGTGTTCATCGTGGAGAGCACGCGGCGGCGCGTGGCAGTGGAGGCCACGCTGGAGAACCGGGGGGAGAATGCCTACAACACCATCCTTAACATCTCCCAGTCTGCAAACCTGCAGTTCGCCAGCTTGATCCAGAAGGTGAGAGCGTGGTGGCCCAGGGCAGAAGAGGGACGAAAAGGTGCAGGCCAGGGAGAGAGCCACCCACATCCCGCCTCCTCCTCTGGGGATGCTCTGTGCGGTCCGGGGTGAGTCCTGGCACCGAGCAGGAGCGCCTCGGGGGGCAGTCAGAGGGGAGCCTCAGGCATGGGGCGTTCAGGTCTTTGAGGGCAGGGGAAATGCCCAGTGCCGCCACCCGCTCTCCAAGCTCCTACACTGACTGGGACCGAGGCCACGTGGACCTCTCCCCAACCCCACACACAGGAAATGCAACCAAGCAAAGCCAGAGTCCCCTACTGTCCGCCCCACACCCTCAAACAGGCCTCAACTGCCTGAGGCTGCCTGAATGAGGCCTGTGGCAGTGTGATCCGTCAAGCCCTGATCTGGGGCAGCAATACCCCCATCTCTGCCCAGAGTGGGAGAAGTAGCCCCTCGGAGGCCTTCCAAGGCCCTCTCTTGTCCAGAGACTGTCTGTCTGGGTTTGGGGTCCACAGAGGGCCCCCACCTGTACCAATCTTCCCTCTCCTCTGCCCCAGGCCTCACTGCCAGCCTATGCCTGCTTATAGCTGGTGGTGACCAGAAGGGCTTTGCAAATAACTGGGAGTATAGAAGTAAGATGCTCTATGGAACATTGTGACCAAGGCCAGGGGAAGCAGGCTAGCAGGAGCCGCCTCCCCCCAAAGGCCACCCACCCAGCCCTGCTTTGCAGGAGCTTGCTCAGGAGCTCAGCCAGGTAGAAAAGTTGAGTCTGCTTGCTGCAGATGAGCACACGAGCCACACAGACAGCCAGGGAAATGCACACACTTGCAAGCATGCATCATACTTGTGCCCTGATCCAGTGCAAACCTCACACACAGCCTGCCCAGACAGCTTGCACGTGCACATCCAAAAGCACACACACGCACCCACAAGTACAAGCACATGGGTATACACACATGCATACATGTGCACACATGCATGCACACGCACACACACCTGGACAATGCCTCCTGGACAGAACCATAATAGGAACAAATCATCACCAACAGGAGTCGCCAGGGGTCAGTGCCTTGCATATTCTGGGCCCTGAGGCCCACACTCTGCTAGCACCCATCTCCCATGATGGCTACAGAAGCGGGCGGCCCTGTCCCCTTAGCAAGAAAAGATTCAGACAACCCCCGCCCCTCCCCCCACACACACCACATCAAGCTAGAGCCCAGAGTCTCTTCCCTGTGTACCTGTGTGCAGGGGACACCCAGGCCAGGCAGGCCAGCTGTCAGCTTTTGCGCCCTGGACTGACAGCCAGGAGCTACTTGTTGTCGGTCTGGAAAGAGAACGGGTGGAAAGGATTGATGCAGGCTCACCCCCATCAGCCAGTGCAAGCGCCTGACCATGGTCTAACCACAGAGCCACAGAAAACTACCACCAGTCAGACCTGAGGTTGGCCCGCAGCGTACTTGTTGCTTTTCTGGACTGTGAGACCACATAGCTCATTCATAGCTGCAAGAAGCCTTTGCAGCCCTGAAGGAAAGCTGTCTGTCTGTGCAGCTATAGAGAACCAGAGGGAAGCAGGGTTGCAGGGGCTCAAGACTGCCCAGCCCTTAGGTGGACAAAGCAAATCCCAGTCCTCTACTGTCCGCAGTCTGAGTGAGGAACTTCCGGTTCCTGGGCCACGGGAAACACCTTGCCTACCATGTGCATACAAGCCCAGCACCCGAGCCCTGCCTGTGGCAGCTATGGTGGACGCACCTTGTGTCATACCTGCACGGGGAACCCAGGCCTGGGGGAGGGAGGGGAGTGCTCCCAGCTAAGTGCAGGCCAGTGCTCCAAGCATGCTCCAGGAATCAGCATGGGCGGTGGGGAGGGATGTTCTCCGTGGAAAGGGGCTACTGCGGGGAGGGGGCTGTACACCTTGACCCCCGGCCCTCCCTCACGGGTACCTCTATGTCCTCACCCTCAGGACGACTCCGACGGCAGCATCGAGTGTGTGAACGAGGAGAGACGCCTGCACAAGAAAGTCTGCAATGTCAGTTACCCCTTCTTCAGGGCCAAGGCCAAGGTGAGCCGTCAGGCAGGGTGGGGAGAGGCAGGAAGCAAGGAGCATGGAGAGTGAGGAACCCACGGAAGAGGCTCCAGGCACCGGCCCCTTTACCTCAGGCAACTCTTTCCACCCTACCCGGCCCCTCTCCCAGCGCCTTGGGCCATCCATGCCATCCTTCATCCTCACACGTCTCCTCCTGAGCTCCTACCTTCCCCGGACTTAGAGATGCAGGTGGAAGGCCCAGCAAGGTAGCAGGACGGAGAGGCAGGCAGATTGGGGGTGGGGGGGTGCTCCACCATCAACCAAAAGACCTCATTGTAAATGGGGACCTATCCGAGGGATGCCAGCTGGAGAGCAGCCTACAGGCTGGGAAGGAGAGGGAAATGGGGGGAGGGCAGAATTAGGGCTCCCTGGGAAGGAAGGTCCCCAAGTGAGGTTAAATTCAATGCACAAACTTCCCATTTCCCCCAGCCCCTGGGGGGGGGGCTGTGTGAACCCCAGTAATGCCCAAATGGGGTCAGAGAGGCTGGGAAGGTAGCCTAGTGATAAGAGTGTTTGCCTAGCATGCATGAAGCCCTGGGTTCGATTCCTTTTTTTTTTCTTTTTTTTTTTTTGTCGGTTGCGGGGCCTGAACTCTGGGCCTGGGCGCTGTCCCTCAGCTCTTCAGCTCAAGGCTAGCGCTCTACCACTTGAGCCACAACACCACTTCCGGCTTTTTTTCTTTTTGTTTATGTGGTGCTGAGGAATCGAACCCAGGGCCTCATGCATGCAAGGCAAGCGCTCTACCACTGAGCCACCTTCCCAGCCCATCGATTCCTTAGTACCTCATACACAGAAAAAGCCGGAAGTGGTGCTGTGGCTCACGTGGTAGAGGGCTAGCCTTGAACAAAAGAAGCTCAGGGACAAGTGCCCAGGCCCTGAGTTCAAGCCCCAGGACTGGCAAAAACAAAAACATATGAGGCCAGAGAAGGGTCAGACAAGACAAGGCCATGGTTAGGGGACCCCACCCTGTTGGCCTGGGGGTGGGGCTGGGTCCCAGCTTTCTATCGAAGGAGGAGAGGGTGCTGTGCCTTTTGCCCCCTGTGGCATAGCTGTGGGTTTTGCTCTGGACAGCCCCAGCTCCCCTCTTCTCTTCCCAGTCCTCTCTTTGCTATTCCCAGCTAGGACTACACCTGGGAAAGGGACAGGATGCCAGGCAGGGCCCAGACAACGCCCCACCCCCTGCACCTCCAGCTCAGGCTCCTGCTTCCTTGCAGGTAGCCTTCCGTCTGGACTTCGAATTCAGCAAGTCCGTCTTCCTGCAACACCTGCATGTCCAGCTGGGCTCCGGCAGGTCAGGAGCCTGCGCCCACCCTGCCCAAAGCCACTCACTGCTGCCCCTGCCCTGCCCTCCCCTAAGAAACCCACAAACCAAGCTGCCCCTGGTCCCACGTGGGCCCAGCCTGCCACCTGCCCTGGCACCACCACACCTCATTCTTTGAGGCTTGGCGCTAAGTCCTTTACTGTCATCTGAAGGCACTTTAGGTAGCTACTTAAACTGCTGCAGTTCTAAGACTGGGTTCCATCCTCCCACAATAAGCAGGGTACCCCTAACCAATCTTTCCGGTTTCCCCACCACCACCACCACCAAGTTACAGATAAGAACAAGGAGGCTCAGAGAAGTTGGGAGATTCCTCCACTATCCACAACCTGCAAACTGTGCACCTGGGAACAGAACCCAAACTGTTCCTCTCCTTGTCTCTCCCTCTGCTTGGCGTCTGGCCATCGTTTAGTGGACTGTTCTTAGGCTGTCCCCAGGCCGCTCTGAGGCAGCTTGCTACGGGTGAAGCGCTCTGGGCCTGCAGGAAACAAACTTGACTTTCTCATAGACTCTGCACAAGGAGGGAGACAGGAGGGTTCTCTCTGCTCTTGGGCCTTATCATGGCCAAGAAGTAAATGCTCTGGGCAAACCAGGTAGCAGTGTCTACACAGGCCAGTCCTTGCTTACTCAGAGCAACCCAGGACACAGTGCCCAGTGGGAGCCTCCCAATTCATGCCCACACATCCTCCCTGACTCCAGCAAGCCCTGGTGTCCAGCGTCAGCCTCCCCCTCCCGCCTGGCCTGGTGTGGAGCTGGTCGGCCTGGGTGAACCAGCACGGACCTCATCGGTCTTTAAGGTCCCCTGACCCTAATTCCCCCTTTAGTGACAGCGAGGAGCAGGACAGTACCAAGGAGGACAACTCGGCCCTCCTCCGCTTCCACCTCAAGTATGAGGCCGACATTCTCTTTACCAGGTGGGCCATGCCTCCCCCCTGCAACGCCATCATTTGTCACCCACCCACAGTGGCCATCTTCACACGCCTCTGTCCTCTGTCTCTGCAGGAGCAGCAGCCTGAGCCACTATGAGATCAAGGCCAACAGCTCACTGGAGGCACAGGGTGGCCTGGGGCCTCCTCTCAGTTGTGTTTTCAAGGTAAGGCTGAAGGCAGGCACGCAGGGCCCCTGTGTGGAGAAGTATCTCAGTGCCTGAGTTCAGCCTCAGCCCTGCCACCTACTCCTGTGTGGCGTTCAACAATCTCCTTCTTTCTCAGTCTCTCTGTTCTTATCTGGAAATACCCAGGCTGGACCAGCCACACCTAGTCATTCCCTAGGCTAAACATTTTTTTTTTAATGGAAAGAGTTTAACATTTTAAGAACAAAAAAAAAACATAGAGGGTTAAATATAACAGGGCTTGCAGTCTCCCTAGAAGAAATCTAGACTAGCAGCTTCAGAGTTCCAAATTGGGTCTTATTCTACCATCCTCAGTAATGAAATGGTCAACCTCACATTCACCTCATAGTCCAAGGGGGTTGAAGCCCCAGCCATCACATGCTTATTCCAGGCAGCAGGAAGAAGGAGGAGCAGAAGGGCATGCCCCTCCCTCTTTAAGAATCTCCCTGGCAGTTCTTCATAGTTCCAGTTGCTTCTCGTTGTCCCAGAACATTGTGACTTAGCTGTAAGGGAGCTGGGAAGTGTGACCTTTTTGCCTTGGTCCTGTCACCAATGAAAATCCGGAAGCAATTTACCCATCTTGGCTAAAGTGGACCCCAGGGTCTCCCTCATCCCTGAAGTGAGTTGATTGTCTTCTATGGTGGCGTGAGGCTGACAATGACACTGGCCTGCAGACACTCCGGGTCCTGTGTGGCTTGTCCAAAATGTCCAGTCACCTGCTCAAAGCCACCGCATGCATCCAGAGCTATGTCCCCAGTCCCACTTGACGATCACAACAACAGCATCATGGATTCATAGCAACCTCATCCCACGGCGATGACTTTCTCCATCTCCAGTCCTGTCCTCCCTGATATCCCCAAGTGGAGGGTACTGAAGGCGGCAGTGTCCCCTCTGTCCAGGCTCAGGGCCTGCTGATACCCTGTCACATCTGGAATCCCTCCATCCAGTGTCCCTTATTGTCATCCTTCCACTCCGATGTGGCAAAGCACCGCAGTTGCCACACAGTGAAAATGTCCCATGGGCCTGTCCCCAGACTGGCTGTGGGATGCCAGGGCTGGCCGCCCCCATAGGCCTCACTGCCCCCTCCTTCAGACGCCCTCCTCTGGTGCAGGTGCAGAACTTGGGCTTCTTCCCCATCCATGGGGTGATGATGAAGATCACCATTCCCATCGCCACCCGGGGCGGGAACCGTCTTCTGATGCTGAGGGATTTCTTCACCGACCAGGTACCCAAGCCCCAGGGCCAACAGAAGACAGACACACGTCTTATGCAAGGCCCCATATGCTCAAACCCTGGCTCCCTATTCCCAGGACTGGGGGTCCAGGCCTGTCTGGGTAGGGGAGATAAGGAGCCCTTTGAGGCCTGGGTCTGCCGGGCCTGGCCCTGAGGCTCACTGGTATGTGCGCGTGCATGTGTGCGCAGGTGAACACGTCCTGTAACATCTGGGGGAACAGTACCGAGTACCGAACCACCCCAATGGAGGAAGACTTGAGTCGTGCCTCACAGCTGGTGAGTGTCTCCAACCTAAGAGCCAAAGGGCCTTGCTTGGACAGCCATCTTGCTCCGGGGCTTACCCTGTCAGCTGGCCCTCCTCCTTAGAAATGGATGGAGCTCTGCTCCAATCCCAGAACCTCTCCAAGCGTCAGAGTCTCAAGTTTTCCTTCTCAGAATCCCTTCCATCTCTGCATACTAGTTTCTCAACATACAGTCATTGGTTCTTACCCAGAAAAAAAAAAATCTCGTCTGGTTTAGTTTCCTTAAGCAGTGCCTTGTACACAGCACTTTCTGATCACATTAGAAATATCTGGCCTTGCCGGGCGCTGGTGGCTCACGCCTGTAATCCTAGCTACTCAGGAGGCTGAGATCTGAGGATCGTGGTTCAAAGCCAGCCCGGGCAGGAGAGACTGTGAGACTCCTATCTCCAATAAACCACCAGAAAACCGGAAGTGGCGCTGTAGCTCAAGTGGTAGAGCGCTCGCCTTGAGCTGAAGAGCTGAGGGACAGCGCCCAGGCCCAGAGTTCAAGCCCCATGACCGACAAAAAAAAAAAAAGAAATATCTGGCCTTGAGTAAGGTTGGGATGGTCAGCAAGCCAGCAATGCAAATAACTTTGTCCCCATAAATTATAATTGCTTAAAGAATCATTTGGGGTTTCTATGATGTTGCTTTCTCATTCAGTCAATACAAATTGCTTTTGTTGTCTTCTCAGACCTCCAGGGCACTGATAGCATGATTACCAAAATAATTGTCTTGATCAATTATGAGCTCACTTAAAAGAATTGTTACTTGATAGATTTGTGTATGTGGGTGCACATACATAAACATAAAACGTATCAGGTGTGTATACACACATCAGATTTAATCAGATTCAGGAAGCTCCCTAGATTGCCTAAAATACTTTTTTCACATCTGTGCCAGTAATCACACCCACCTTATCTAAATTTGTATATGGTTATGACATGTAAAAGTTCTTCAATACAGCCAATGTGGGTGGCTCATGCCTATAATCCTAGCTACTCAGTATGCTGAGATCTGAGTATCACAGTTCAAAGTCAGTCTGGACAGGCAAGTGGGCAAGACTCTTATCTCCAATAAACTACTCAAAAAAAGCCAGAAGTGGCACTATGGGTCAAGTGATAGGTTGCTGGCCTTTAGCAAAAGAAGCTCAGGGACAGCTCCCAGACCCAGAGTTCAAGCCCTAGGCCCAGCAAAAAAGAAAAAAGAAAAAAAAAAGATTCCTCAATACAGACTCAAAGGTCTATTCCTAGAGCTACCGCAAATGCAGCATGAGAGCTCCACGTATAGTTTGTCACCTACAATCTCTGGCAGCCCAGCCCAGGCCACCCCCTCCCCCTCCGTCTCTTGTCCCCTGTGCTCTGCCCTCCTCCCTCCCAGTGAGCCATGTTGTGACATTTGCCTGGTGGCACACCGGGCACCTCCCCTGCTCCTGCTCACCACACACTGTCTTCTCTTTCAGAATCATAGCAACTCTGATGTGGTCTCCATCGACTGCAACGTGAGGCTGGCTCCCAACCAGGAAGTCAGCTTCTACCTGTTAGGGAACCTGTGGCTGAGGTCGCTCAAAGCAGTAAGTAGAGGCCCCAGGGCACAGGGTGACTGTGGGGGGCTCCCACTTGGGGCTACCTAGCAGGGGCAGGAACAAAGGCTTCTCAAGACGCTCTAACAGGGCATCTGACTGTACACAGCTCAAGTACAGGTCCCTGAAGATCATGGTCCATGCGGTCTTGCAGCGGCAGTTCCACAGCCCCTTCATCTTCCCCGAGGAGGACCCCAGCCGTCAGGTAAGCTCTGCAGATGCCTGCAAGCCTGGACTCCGGCCCTGTGGATGTGAGAAAGAGCTGGCCCCTCCCTTCCAGTTTTCCTGCAGGACCCTGACCCTGTGTGCCGCTGTGTCCCAGCAGGAGAGGACAGAGAAAAAGCAAGACCAGGCCCTCTGGGGGGACTGGAGAAGTAGGCGTCAGCCCCAGGGCTTTGGGTGCCCACCTCTGTGTTCACAGGGTGGGGCAGGAGCAGAGGGGCTCCAGTGGAGACCAAGCCTGTGTCCCTCGAGGTGGCTCCACATGAGTTTGAGTGGCCCTTGACTGCCCCACATAGATTGAGTCCCCGGAAGGCTGGAGGCCCAAAACAAGCATTCCTCCCTCTCTTCTCTTCCCTCCCCTCCTGGGTGGGAGGAGTCTGCTATGCGCTGCATTTGTGACGCTCTGTGAGGCAGACACCATCCTGTGATCGCAGGAAGGCTTAAAGCCTAGCCTGTGGAAACAGAAGGGGCGTGGGTCTTTGCTGCCTTCCACTGGCCAAGTCCTAGGAACACTGGCATCCCTCACAGATGGAGTAAGCTCCACCTGGCCCAAGGATGCACTGGAAAGCAGAAGGGCAGGGTCAGGAGGCCCAGGAGCCTCCTGGTACCTGGCACCTGGCACCTGCTATACCTCCTCTCCACCCCCCCCCCCCCAATGCCACTAGGAGTAACTGCAATCAATGAGGCAGGGCTGCACTATACAACACGCTGACCTTGAGATGTCTAGGAGAGCCGAGGAAGGAGCAAAGAGAACTAAGAGAGTAGCCACTGTTGTAGGAGAATCAAGTGGTTGCCAAGGCCAAAGGCCAAGCATCCACAGGGACAGCATGCTCACCCAACTTAGGTGTCCACGGGGCAGGCTCTGAGGCCTCAGCCTGCCGCTCCCCTTGGAAGGAATGAGGCTTTCCCATCAGGGGCAGCCAGGCTGGCACAACAGTGACTTCGCTGTCCTGACTCCACCTCCCTTGCAGATCACATTGGAGATCTCCAAACAAGAAGACTGGCAGATCCCCATCTGGATCATCGTGGGCAGCACCCTGGGGGGGTTCCTGCTGCTCTCCCTGCTGGTCCTGGCACTGTGGAAGGTGAGGGCCCCACAGGCAGAAATAGACACGGCATCCCGTGGCCCAGGTCTGCGCTCAGGCCTTGGGGCCCTGTGTCAACTGCCATGTTCTGCCTGTGGGAGCTGGCCCCAGCTGCTCCCAACTCTGCTCCCCAACAGTAGGTTGCTTAAGGCCCCAGAGGCCACCCACACTGTGACTCAACCAGCTACTCTTACCAGAAAAAAACAAAAAACACCAGCATACACAACAGCCCCAATTTCCAGCCGTTTCAGGCTGCTAGCAAGGCTACGGGTCTTCTCTGTCTCTGAGCCCTGAGATGTTGTTAGCTGTAGTAAGGTCACAAAGTAAGATGGCAGCACCTACGTGGCCTCCTGCCCAAGGCTCCCCCCCACTTTGCTTTAGCCCACGATGGAGTTCTTGGGGAGTGTGCTTAGGGGGTTCAGGAAAGCCCCCTCAGGACTGGGGTTAGCTGGGAGAAGAACCCACCAGACCCACCTGAGGCCTCCCCTTTTGCTTCCCTACAGCTCGGCTTCTTTAAAAGTGCCAAACGCAAGAGGGAGCCTGGCCTAGACTCCACCCCCAAAGCACTGGAGTGAGGCTCAGAGGAGGCCTGGATTCATGGGCTGGATACCAGTCTGGGCGGTGTGCAGGCCCTGCTGAGCCAGAGTGGACACCAGCTGGCTTTGCACTTGGCCTCATCTCAAGCCATGGAGCCTGTGCCCCGAGGTGGACCTCACGCAGGAGTGAAGAGAAGCCACCCTACTGGACGCGGGAACACCTAACAGACCCCCAGGGATTTAAAGGGACCTCTCCAAGGTCCCCAAAAGTCCCCCACCCCTGGCTCTGGAGAGTGTGTGCTGCACCAACCACTAGGGTGCTAGAAATTCGTAATCACAATCACCTCTGGAAGGAATCCCAGGAGGATACCTATAAATACAAACTCACTCTGCGTGCTCCACCAGGCCTCTTCCTCCAGAACCACGGCACAGCAGATCTGACTTTTGTGGTGTGCTTTCCCACCTCTCTCTGGAGTCACGGCCACCCTCTTCCCATACATAGGCCCCAGAGGGCCCCTGATCCCCTTCCTCCCAGGGAACCTGGGCCCTGGGGTCTGTGACAGCTACAAGCCAGGGATGAAGACAGACTCTGGAATGCAGGTGGTGGCAGCTGGGTAGGTGAGAACCCAGATGCTGAGTACACGCTGAGGCTAAACTGCACCATGCTGGCCCCACTCACCCTCTCTGATCCTCCCTCTTGGCTGCTCTTGCCGAGGTACCTCATGAGGAGCCTGTGAATAACTCAATCCCCTGGGCTCCACATTCCACATCTTCTGGCCGAGCTGTAGGCTGAGTCAGGGTTAAAGGCAGGGAGCCTTCCCTCCTTGCACCAGCCCCGACCCGACCCCTCCCTTCTCCCTACCCGTGTGGGGAGCAGGGCCAGGACAGCGCTGTGGAGGGCTCTGTAGTGCACTGAATAACCCGGGTCAAGAGTGGTGCTGGTCAGAGGCAGGTGTCTCCAGCCCACGGGACATGAAAGGACCAAAAATGGCACCCCGAGGACAAGGGCATGCTGGGTGCCCAGACAAGTAACTTATGCCTTCACTTTCTTGGAAGAGGGACACATCCAAAGCACATTGCTCTGTGCGTAGTGCAGCCTTTACTGTCATGTTTCTAAGAAATTAAACTGTTTAAAACCAAGGCAATGGCATTCTCTGGCAGTTTGTCCCACAGAGCCACTTACTGCTTCCTGCTTTTATCTAAATGTGGGAGACCTGTCACTGCAGGGGGCTACCTGGCCTGCTGTTGTCTCTGGCCCTTCCAGAGACCCCTCCCACACACACACATCTCTGGCCAGGTGGTTAAAACCCAGACATGTCACTCTGTCCCTTAGCTCTGGCTGATGCTGGAGTTATCGGTATGTGCTGGCTGCTCTTGAACCAAGTGCTGTATACCATTTCATTCCTGGGCTTTTTGCTTCCTGGAACCCCAACAAGTTTAAAAAGTGTTTCATCTTATTTTCTGGAGCAATGAAGAGACCAAGAGAAACCAAGAGCACCACCTCCCAGCCAAACTATCCATGTAGAGAGAACATGGTGAAAATGCACACCAGAGCCTGCTTTCCTAACAGAATCACAGGGAAAACACTGCATCACACTCCACACCAGTCATCATCCTTATGAATGGGATAACCTGGAAAAGAGATTTATGAGCCTGTGACCATTTGATTGGGTAGTGTCTTTTCTTCTGATTGTTCTTAGGGAAAATGATTTGTAAACAGGCATTTTTTTTGGGGGGGGGGGGGTCGGTCATAGGGCTTGAACTCTGGGCCTGCGCGCTGTCCCTGTGCTCTTCAGCTCAAGGCGAGCGCTCTACTACTTGTGCCACAGAGCCACTTCCGGTTTTCTAGTGGTTTATTGGAGTTAAGAGTCTCACGGACTTTCCTGGCCGGGCTGGCTTTGAACTGCGATCCTCAGATCTCAGCCTCCTTGAGTAGCTAGGATTACAGGCATGAGCCACCAGTGCCCACTTTGGCATTTGTATTTTTTAAACTGCTATATGTGGCCAAAGGTTTGCTCAAACTTCACCTCTGGACTCTCAAGCAGAAGGCAGTCTCACCCCAGAACTCCAGTCCCTCCACATGCCCCTAACCCCTCCTCCAACTAAATGGCCAAGAGCTGAAGGAATTGGAGGCTTGCATTTCAGTCTTCAGCTCTTCCATTGTCTCTTTTTTCTCTTACTAGTTCTCCCTTCTCAATCTATTTACTCTGAAATAGAAATGTCCAAGACTGGTACAGACCGAGCAGAGTAAACATGAAAGATGTATTTTTAGAGGAAGCTCCTCACCTGAACTTTAAGATGCCAAATGCAACAACACTGACCCCTAGGGTTCAGATTGACTGCTGGAAGAGGGGCCAGGACATCACTTTCACTGTGAATTTTGAGTGACTCTGGCTGATAGCGGAGGCCACCAAATGATCATACAGCTAAGAATTAAGAGGGGCTGCTCTTTGAACAATATGCGGAGACAAAGGGGGGAAAAAAAGGTAGGACTTGAGTCATATGGTCTCATGCCCCAGAATGCAAGACTATACTAGAACCCACTGGCTTAATCATGTTCATTTCCTGACATGACTTGACCACCACCTATCTCTAATCATACAGATGCTCCAGGAATGACTTAATAGTCCCCAGCAGTCCAGAATGTAATGTCCTTGGATCTTACCTTGGCTGACATGGGGCCAGCTCTTTTATTTTGTACTGCTTCTTGTTAAGAAAAAACACAAAACATTCCAAAATTATCCTTGAGGCAGAACCAAGGTTTTTCACAAACAGCAGTCAAGCCTAATCAATCGCAGTAAGATTTTCAGAGTGCTTTTCTATCAGTCTATGCTGTAAGTGCTGACATTACCCTGAAGCAGGACACCATGTTCCAAAACAAAATGGAACAGGAATGGAGAAGCATGGCCACTTAGGTGTGAAGAGGACAAGAAGACTCATACCTAGGCTCTGAAACTTTCAGAAAGCTTCAAGCTAAACTGTGCCCAGCGAACTCATCAGGCTCAGAGAACAGTATGAGCAGGAAAATGATGACTGAAGGGCACCACTACAGACTTACCATTCCAGTCTGGCATTATTTTTATTTCTCCATTAAAAGTGCAACATTTCCATGATTATGGCTCAAGCCACAATCAAAAAGTATAATAAAGCCCAAAGCAGTACATGTGAGGCTGAGCCAGTCATCAAAATCCAGAGCTAGCAATGAATCTGCTAAATATTACCCATAAGATGTTCACTACAATACTGTCTGGAACATCAGAAACTGAAAACCAACAGCCCACCAATAAGATCTGGCTAAACAAAATTTAAGTCTATCCATAGACTACTATAAAATTGTTTTCAAAAACTCCATATATATGAAAAAAATTTTAAAGGCTTAAGATGTTAAAAAAAAAAAAGGTAAAGTCCATTTGGCATTTTAAAATAAATACATACATAACAGACACCACAATAAAGCTCCTTTATACAATTAATATGCAATAATAAAGTGAAACCATACATACACAAAAATTATGGTAAATTAATCAAAAAACTTAAAAATCATTGCCTTTGCAGAATCTAAATTTGATGTGGAGACAAGCGGGGAACTTCTGTTCCAGTTAAGCTTTTCTTTAATGTATGAATTTATTCCATGCACACGTATTACCTCAAGAACTCCTCAATGAACTCAAAAAATCATCTCACACTGAACAATAAAGACACACACTTCAAGGTAGTTTTTTTAAACATTTACTGAACACAAACACCATTTTTCCTTTTACATAGCAAGATTGTTAGTTTCAAATTAGCTGAACTATTACGACTGTCAATTGCTATAAAATTAAAAGTGATTCTACATGTCAAACTGAAATGGAAAATATCATGCAAATATATAAATCACTAGCAGACCTCTGGTGCAGCCAGCAAATTTACTAAGTTTATTAAAGTCACGTAAAAGGTTTGACAAAGTGCACAATAGAATGACACCACTGGTTTATTATAAATCACAGTGAATTACTAGAATACAACAATGTGGCTCCTCTACGGGGAGACTGCAGGACGGGGTGAATATTATAAAGGACAGGATCTTTTCAATAGGTTAGGCCGGTCAGCTGTGACTCCCCAGCTACGTGCCTCTGAAAAGACTGCTTGAGAAAGCTGAGACTTTTCCTCGCATGGTCTTCTCTGACAATTACTAAGCAACAACAACAAAAAAAGCCATGCACAAATTTTACATCTGATAAAAAAGAGATACAAAACCTGTTGGCTCCATCACTAGGGAAGCTTGCGTCTGGGCTGCTCCACTGTTCTCACAGGGCCGCTCGCACATGACTCACCCTAAACGAAAAGCTGTTAATGACTTAGCAATATTCACCCCTCCTCAAACAGCAAGGTAGACTCCCAAGACCATCAACTCACTGACCCTTCCCTACACATTAACAGACAAAAGTAAACACCACAAGTCTAGGACTAGAGACCACATTTACAGCTTTAAAACTAGATCGTCATTACTGGTGTAGTGTTTGTTTCAGATCCTGTATTTGTACAGCCCATCCCGTCTGAAGGTTTGCGCAGGTCTGCCATAAGAAAGTCCTATAATGTGATAAGACGTAAGAAGCGTTCCCCTTTGAAGAGGATGTCCACTACAAAGCTGCATTTGCAGAGTAGGCAGGAACACAGCTTAAAAAATTCTGGACCAAAACCTTTAATAAAGCAAAGGGCAGAATTTTATTTTCTTGTGCCCTTTTTAATAGTACAGTATAGCCAGTGAGAAAAGCAAAAGACTTGTCTGTGCATTGACACATCTAGCAAGCTGAAACACTTCAGATTTTTACAGAATATCTATCATAAAAACAAGATTGTTGTACTTTCCTCCATCTACTCACTAGTTCAAGCACTGGCTACCTCTAAAACCAGCAAATGGAATCCAAAGTTTGACAACTCACTCCTCAGGCCACCCCATTCCAAAAGCAGGCAAAGTGGTCTCATTTAGAGAGCAAGCGCGTCTACTTTGATGGAAACCGCTAACAGAGTGCTGCTCCCTTAAATTTTTAATTTTTAAAAACACTTGGCAAATGCAGTGCTGGCATTTAGAGGTATCGCCCTAAATCATATTTTACTTCAAATAATGCTATCATACCTCAGTCTTCAGAATTACCAATCATGAATCAACTATTCGTACAATAAAACTTCTCAGGAACAAGCAAGACCAAAGCTTGCAGATGGCCCTCTATCTGGTGTGTGTTTAAAGTTGCCACAGCAAAGAACCTTGGGACAACTGGGCTAAAAGCGCAATCCAGGGTGGACTGAAGGTAGCTAATCCATCAGACTCAGTTTTTATGCAAAATGCTGCCCTTTGTTGTCTACTGAGGGGCATGGATTTGCCGCCCAATCCCTGGGTTACTAGACAGTAAATAGTTACTAAAAACTGAAGAGCCCAATTTCACTGACTCCATTGAAAGTGGAAAACCCACTTAAGTTCCACATGATTTACAAATGAAAATGTCCCCCTGGGCTCTAGTTCATCCAGATTTATAGACACTTCCCAGGCAGGATGGAGAAGTTGGAGGGAATCTGTAATGTTATCAAGGAAGCATTAATGTTCAAAGCATCATTTTTACAATAAGAAACATTAAATGACAAAGGCGGCTGCAAAGTGAAAGCAGCCTAATGTGCTGAGATACAGAACTATCACCTTCTTACCTATTTTCCCTTAAAAATGTAAGTTTATAAAGAATTTGGCTATATGTATTTTAAAATAATTCTACCAAAACAAATGTAAGTAACAGGCCTGTAGATCACTTGTTTCAAGAATGGCTTTATGCAGGTATTCACAATGCTTATTTGGATTGATATCACAAGACAAAAAAGTTAGATCTTCAACAAGAGTGCACAATGTACTACTACACTATAGTAAGCAAAAATCATTACCAGTAGCACAGTTTATTCTGCTTTCTTCAAATTCTTCCTCCAACTCTGCCAGTTCTTTAATCAGCACAGTTCATTTTCTCCAGTTCAGTATTCCCTTTGCAAAAACTGTCATTAAATTCTGATGTGACTATGTACATAAAATCATTATCCTCATTTTATAAATAAGTCACGTCTAAAATAGTGCTGGACCGGTATAGTGAAGGGGTATGAAATGTGGTTTTAAAACATGCAACATTACCTAGTACTGTAAGTTCTGGTGTTTAAAAATCATATATATTAAAAATGGACCAAGTGAGTACCAAGTATTCCATCTATTTCCTCACGCTTCACTGCACCATCCTGATACTCTGAAAAACAAAGGGTCCATCTGATCAGAACCTTGGGGAAGGTATGACTCACTCACCTTGAGGAAATGTATTTTCTTTCAGGCCACTGAGAATTGCCAAGAGCAAGGTACAGTATATCCTTGATTCAGGATCAGGGTCAGTTAATTTACAAATCAGGGTCCATTCTAATGCCATCCTTAAAACCTTCCTTGTAAAACTTCAAGTTAGGAAAATAGAAATCTATTACCATGACAGTATCTGCCATCCAAACATTCCTAACTGAAGCAAGAAGACACACCAAGAACTGAAGCAACTGGATCTTGAACCTTCCTAAGGGAAAGTTTCAAGAATCTCCCTTCCCTGCCCCCTTCAAAGTATTTTATTTTGTGTGTGGGGTCTTACTTAAGGCCCTAAGGTACTGATTTTGGCTTAGTCGTGGTTTCTTATAAGTGATTCAACTGCAACCTTTCTCTTATATCTTTCAATGCAATCTCCATAATTAAAATGTTATTGAAATCTTATAGTTTTTTTTTTTTAAGTTTACATCTGATGTTATACATCACTACAATGCTTTTCATCAAAGGAAAAAAAAATCTGTGTCTTCACATACAGTACCATGCACTACAGATAGCGAAGGCATTCATTTGGCACTAGAGAGAAAATTAAGATACAGCTAATTTTACTTTCATTATCATTTTCAACATCAACAGAAATAGGTACATACCTTTAATTTTACCTTTTTCTGTGAGGCTTAAAAAATAATCATAGAATACTTTTAGTTTGATATTTAAAAAGTTGCTGTTAAAATAACAACAACAAAAAATAAAGACCTCTGTACAACCTGTTGGATAAGTGACATTCTGTGGTAGAAAAACCTGCAGCTGACAGACGCGTACCTTTCCAGTGGCATTGAGAATTATTTCCATCATCAAAAAAACAATTTCCTATACCACACAACTGAGTTTCCTATTTCTTATAATGGACTAGGTGAAAACAAAAAAAAAAAATATTATATATATATATATATATATATATCCTAGTTCTTTCTCATCTGTCTAAAGAGGCAAATAAATGCTCTCTGGAAAAGTAATTTCCCAAATTTTAAAAGGTACAACATAATAGGAAAAGGAGAGGGAGACAATTTGTTTCATAAAAAAACAAACAAACACAGAATTCATTATTTTTACATGTCTATAAGCTGAATCAAATGTAGTTTAGATCAATTACATTAAAACAGAGACTTCAAAGAATTCAATCCTAAAGACAGTCCATCAGTATTCTTTGAAAAGTTGGTTTAAGGTTATGACTTTGAATATACTACCCAGCACAATGGAACAAATTCAATGAGCTTAATGTTACGAATTTGTAGCTATATTAAATTAGCACATTTTTTTCTCATTAACCTGCAGCTGCATTTTTTTAAGTCTTCCTGTTAAAATGTGTGGGATCACTCTACATACATAATGGAAGAGGGAAAAACATCTGCAGCAGTTGAAATGTCAGAACTCCTGGACTTCCTATTACTTTTAGTGTTCCTTGTCTCCATGAAGTCCTCAGAACTGCTGCATGGATAATGAGCTGACATACACTTAACAGAAATACTTTTGTAGGGCTGTTCAGAACATCAACTTGAAATCACAAACATCCCTTATCACACAAACAGAATCTTATATTGGTTCCTTAAAAAAAAAAAAAAAAAGACAAATATTAAGTGACACCTTAAGTGATACCTAGACAATGTGGCTTTGCTTAAAGTGTGTCTGAAACCTATTACCAACTATACTGAGGCAACAAGACCATAGACGGATTTAAGGATGGAAGAAGGGTAATGGAAAGAAAAGTAGAATTTATGAACACATAATTCTATTGTCTGTGATTAAAGTCCTTTACTTTTTAGCACCACATTAAACGATTTTACATGTCCAGCCACTTAATGAAATCCAACAAACTCTTCCAGAGTTCTGGGGATCTGGTCTTGGTAGTTAATGTCATTAGCTCGAACTGCTCGGGCAGCCAGGCACTTGAGACTCATCTTCATTTGAGTTTTAAGTAGGATTTCCGATACCCCAGTGGTACTTTTGTCTAGTGGAGTCTTGTTCTGCTTATTTGTCATGTCGGTGTGGGCGCCTGCTTCAACCAGGCTGATGATGATGGAGTGCAGGGTCAGGAAGTCACTGATGGGTCTGTTGTACTGGACAATAATGTGGAGGGCGCTGTTCCCCTCATTGTCCACGGCATTCACCTCCGCACCACAGTCCAGCAGGAGCTTTGTAACAAGTGCATTTGGGAAGCTGCAGACATCATTGGTGTGGAAATCATCAACTGGGGTATTAGAGTTGACGGCTAGGTGCAGCAAGGTGAAGCCTTCCCGAGTTCTGGGGTCAAGATGAATCAGGTTGTATATCTGCTTGTTGATTTTGCACTGATCTTCTTCACTGCACTGTGTTTTGGTAGAGATGCACACTAAATACAGAAAAGTATACAGATTACATTCATAATTGTCCATAGCACTGTGGACATCAGCATCTGTGATATTTTTTACTCTGTTCATACTTTGTTCTATTTCCAAAACACTGCATCTCAAAACACATTCTATGTCTGGGGCCTTCACAGTTTCATTCAAATGTATCATCTGTGAGAACACTTGAGCAAATCGAAGAAGATCCTTGTGGGTATTCCTGTTACCCTTCTGCCTGAGGTGCAAGGCATGAAGCCACAACTTGATACACTGTTCGAACTCCATATTATCTGCATAAACAGCGCCCCTGTAAATGATGGGGTGAGAAACATCAATATTGTCAGCACCTAAAATCCGTTCCCGAACTATCAGGCCTTCCATGTGAAGAGCATCTCTGTCTTGCCGAATGGATTCCAGTTCTTGAGGGTTTCTGCATTCAGTTCTATTCCCGTAAGCATGGATTGGCGGGAGAACCTCTTTTTCAAGAATGTTTTCACCATCTTGAAACCTCTCTAACATAGCTAAATATAAATAGTGGTATGTCTTCATGATGTCATAGTTCTCACGGTCATTTGCAAAGGAGGCACCCAACAGTTCCAATGCTTCAATCCGACTTCTTCTATCACAATCAGCATGAGAGAGCAGCAGTTCCACCACATCGGCTTTACAGCTTTCTGCCGCAACCTTCAATGGTGTCATGCCATGGCCATTCACCACTATTGCAGCTCGCCATTTTATCAGCTCCTTCACAATGTCAAGGTGCCCAGCTTCAGCTGCAAAGTGCAATGCAGTGGCCCCACAATGTGCTTTAGCATTTGGGTCAGCACGTTGTTCTAACAGGTATCGGACCACGTCAGTGTGTCCCTTATATGCTGCAATCATCAGGCAGGTGTTGTCATACTTGTTGGCAATGCTGATGTTGGCATTGTTTTCAACCAGGTATTTCACAATGTCCAGTCTGCCATCAAAGCATGCCGCCCGCAGAGGGGTCGAGTTAGTTACTGTGGTATGGTTCACATTGGCTCCATGGCTGACTAGAAGTTTAACGACTTCAAAATGTCCTGCTCCTGCAGCACACCAGAGCGCAGTGGCACCATCAATGACATACCTACACGTGGAGAGAACAAACAGATGGATAGTAACACATCATCTGCATTGACCAAGACCTCACATTCCACACCACCATTAATGCATCAGTTTTTGTGAAAATGAAAATTTCAGTAAAGCACTTTACATCATACTTGTATATCTAGTATGAACCCAACGTAATTATCATCATTTCTAAAGTGTATTTTTTTTTTAATCTTGCCTGGGTGCCAGTGGGCTCATGCCTACATACTCAGGAGGCTGAGATCTGAGATTCAAAACCAAACTAGGCAGACAAATCCAAGAGACTCTTCTCTCCAATTAACCAGCAAAAAGCCAAAAGTGGTATGGCTCTTCTGGTAGAGCACTGACCTTGAACAATACAGCTAAACAAGAGTACAAGGTCCTGAGTTCAAGCCCCAGTACCAGCATAAGCATACACATAACACACACAAAAAAAGTAGCAATAACACAAAATAAAGGGCTGAATGTTTTTGGCTCAGTAATGAGAGGGCCTGTCTAGCGCATGCAAGTGCTGGAACTGAAACCCTAATACCACCAAAACAAATTAAAAATAAATATTACATCAGTGATGTTTTAATGGCTGACAATTTTAACTTTAATTAAATATACTAAGTTAAATAAAAAATATTGCACTGCTGAAGATATCATTTACTATATAACATCAGAATATATCAATATAGTAATAAGCCAAACAAAAATCATACAAAACTTCTACACTAAAAACTACTAAATACTTAAGAAATAAATAGATGAAACTTAAATAAACAAATAATCTTGAGTTTAGATGAGAATTCTCTTCTTAAATGATCTACACATTTGATGTAAGCCAAATTAAAAACTTAGCAGGCTGTATGCATGTGTGTACTGTATGTACGTATAAAAACTGATAAGGCAACTTTAAAAATTATCTGGAAATGCAATCAAGGTAACTTTTAAGAAAAATAAGAGCATAGGCATGACTCAAGAGTACAGCATCTACCTAGCAAGTGTGGGGTTCCAAGTTTAAATCCTAGGACCCCCCCCCAAAAAAAGTTTCATTTTTCTACTTAAAAAGAATAATGACTTTTTGTGTGTGTGTGCCATATTAGAGCTTAAACTCAGGGCTGGGGTGCTGTTCTTCAGCTTTTTTGCTCAAGGCTGGCACTCTACTACTTGAGCCACATCTCCACTTCCGGCTTTCTGCTGTTAATTAAAGTCTCATGGACTTTTCTGCCTGGGCTTTAGCTTCCCACCAGGATCCTCAGATCTCAGCATCTGAGCAGCAAGGATTGCCAAGGCTTACACCTCTAGCACCTTAAACAATCTTGAAAAAGAACTTTTTTCAAACTGATTATTAATATAATCGGTCAAATAAAACTATCCAAATAGTTTGGTTTCTGAAGACAAAAAAAAAAACTACCGTAATTCAGATACATGAATCACTAGCATAAAGGACAGAAGACTACATCAATAAACAAAAAAAAAAAAAACTTTTCAAAAAAGCTTCTTTAAAATATCAAACTATGGGGCTCAGAATGTGGCTTAGTGCTAGAGTGCTTGCCTAGCATGCATGAAGCCCTGGGTTTGATTCCTTAGTACCCTATACACAGAAAAAGCCAAAAGGGGCACTGTGGCTCAAGCCCTAGGAACAGGAAAAAAAAAAAAAAATCAAACTATCTTAATGACACTGGAGTTGATCACGATCTATTTAAAATTTAAGAAATAGAAAATTTGTTGTAGATATATGTGACAAATGAGTAAGTCAAAGATAAAACAACCCATTTTTTGATACTCACCTTTTTGAAAAAATAAAGCACAAATCGACCACAGAAAGTTTCACAAAGAGAACATTTTACTGAGTTCCTGCTTCAATTTAAAATAGAAATGTCTGGAAATATGCATTGAATGGATGATCAGCAGTATATTTTAACCAAAGTCCTTAAGTTCACTCATTAGATCAAATGCAGTTCCTTGCCAATGATTTTCTAAATGAAGTCAAGATTTACCCCTCTTGTTTATTAGTATTTGCACTATCACTGGCTATGAAAGAAAAGATGCTCAACATTCTCCTAAGTCCTTTCTCCCCTCCCATGTCAGCGAAGCTCTTCAAGAACCAGTATTCCCCACAAACTCTAGGACTGGATAGTCAGCCCTCAAAACCCAGATCAGCACCAAAATTCCATGGTCATATGACACCTTCCCTTTGTTATGTCCCATTTCTAGAACATTTTTAAAAATTAATGTAATTTTATTATTTTTTTTTATCATGTGGTTGAGGAATCAAACCCAGGGCCCTGTGCATGCTAGGCAAGCGCTCTAGCACTAAGCCACCTTCTTAGCAGCTTCCCACTCACATAAGTTTTCTTCTTGTCCACTCACCTGTGTCAATTCTCCTATCCGTAAGTAAAGTACTTTCAAATTCCATTGCGGAAACTGTGACCAAAGACTCAAATTATCAACATATGGCATTTAATCTAGGTGTTAGTCCCTTCCTTTGAGTCTCTATTATGAAGCCATTTTCAGTTTCTTCCAGTGTTATACAGTTTTGGGTCACCAGTAGCCAGTAGTTGAGGCCTATAATTGTAGTTACTCAGGTAGCTAAGATCTGGAGGATGGCTTCCAAGCCAGTCCAACGCAGAAAAGGTTGTTAGACTCTTATCTCCAAAATAACTAGTATGCTGGGCGCTGGTGGCTCACGCCTGTAATCCTAGCTACTCAGGAGGCTGAGATCTGAGGATCGCAGTTCAAAGCCAGCCCAGGCAGGAAAGTCCGTGAGACTCTTATCTCCAAAAAAAAAACACTAGAAAACCACAAGTGGCACTGTGGCTCAAGCGGTAGAGCACTCGCCTTGAGCTGAAGCGCACAGGGACAGCGCCCAAGCCATAGTTCAAGCCCCATAACTGACCAAAAAAAAAAAGAAAGAAAGAAAGAAAAGAAAAACTAGTAAAAAGTTGGGCACCAGTGCCTCACGCCTATAATCATAGCTACTCAGGAGGCTGAGATTTGAGGATGTGGATTTGAAGACAACCTGAATAGGACTCTTATCTTCAATGAACCAGCAAAAAGCCAGAATTGGAGTTGTGACTCAAGTAGTAGGAGCACCAGCCTTGAGCTAAGTAAGGGACAGCACCCAAGCCCTGAGTTCAAGCTCCTATACTGGCATATACACACACAACAACCACCGGTATAGAGCTGGGCTAGAAGTATGGCTCAAGTGGTAGGACATCAGCCCAGCAAGTACAAGCCCCTAAATTCAAACCTCAGCACTATTAAAAAAAAGTAGTTTTTAGGCGGAAGACATTTTCAGAAATTATTTTATACAGAATTACTTTAACATCATGCTTCTCACACACATAGACAAAAATTAGAACCTCAAACATATAATTACATTGCTGTTTTAAGGCTGAAGCTAAGTAGTAGTACTTGAGCTGGGTTTTAACAACAGTAGGGGTTGGGGATGTAGCATAGTAGTTCAACATTTGAGACCCTGGGTTCTACCCCCAGCACTGCAGAAAGTAAAAACAAGGCACAAAGAACAGAAGAGACAAGACAGCAGTCTGGTACACCTACAATGACAAGTATTTCAGTGCTGTTGCAAGAGATCCAAGCTAGGCAATAAAGTGATTGTGGGAAACAGGGAAGTAGTAAAGACAGGCTGTGATATCCTCCTGAAACTACAATCTCCATCGTTCGTGATTTTTATTGAGCATTCTCAATTTATGTTTCACTTATTGATTACTGAAATTGCTAGCTGCTATGTTAAAGTGGTTATTTATTTTCTAATCTACTAAATGCCAATGGTCACTCTTCAGTTTACCAATTAATATGAAAATAACTGAAATTCATATCCATCTTAAGATCCATTCACACCACTTTGAGATTAATTTGCAGTTCTTCCCAGTCATTTGGACCTTTTACAACAGAAGAAACTGTTATTTGCAAAGGTAAGGATTTCTCTTTTTCACTCCTTTTTTGTGTCTGTTGTGGGGCCTGAACTCTGGGCCTGAGCACTGACCCTCAGCAATTCAGCTCAAGGCTAGTGCTCTACCACTTGAGCAATAGCACCACTTCAGGTTTTCTGGTTTATTGGAGATAAATCTCTCAGACTTTCTTGCCTGAGCTAGCTCTGAACTGCAATCCTCAGATCTCGGCCTTCTGAGTAGCTAGGATTATGGGTGTGAGCCACCGGCACCTGGCATTTATTTTTATTCATTAATTTTTATTTCCAATCTTGAGGCTTGAACTTAGGGCTTGGGCACTGTTCCTGAGCTTCTTTTGCTCGAGATTAGAGCTCTACAACTTAAGCCACAGTGCCTCTTTTGACATTTTCTGAGTAGATTATTGGAAATAGTCAGACTTTCCTGCCAGGGCTGGCTTTAAACCTTGATCCTCAGACCTCAGCCTCCTAAGTAGCTAGGATTACAGGCATGAGCCCCCAGTGCCTGGCTTTTCAATCTTTGTAGACCTCTAGAAAAGTTAGCCTGAGTGGTATAACTTGAAGCTCACTTACCCGCTGGGGGCTGGATCTTGCTTTGTATTTTGTAATGCTAGGTTCAATGAAAGTCAGGGCCTCCAGCATGCTAGGCAGGTCCTCTACCTTGAAGCAACCCTAGTACCCAGAAGTCCTGGGGTCTAGCTCTTGAAAAATAGATGTAGCTATTCCCCTATTTCACAGACACATGAAATGTATACCTTTAAGCAACACCCTAGTACCCAGGCCTAGGGTCACATGAGACTTATGGCCAGGTGGGGGCCTCCACAGCTTCTCCATATACGGTATAAATTAGGGTTTCTAATTTTTTAGTTATTTACAAACTTGCTTTACAAGTTTTGTCCAAATTCCTCACTATTAGTGCTCTTTAGTATTTTTCCTTAAATATTCAGTAATTTACTTGGTATTTGTCTCCCCAGTCTTCCCCAATCACTTTCTTCATTGCCAAGTTTGCAACAACACTGAAATACTTGGTCACTCACTGCAAGTGCACCAGACTGCTGTTCTACTGTTCTTTACCAGGTTTTGTTTCTTTTTTATTTTTTGCAGTGTAGGAGGTAGGACCCAGGGCCTCAGGTGCTGCATGTACCATTGAGTTTCATCCCCAGTCCCCTACTGGCTTTAGAGCCAGTTCAAATACTACCAATTCCCTAGTGCAAACCTGATTCTCTCTCCCTCTACTCTCCTTCAGTATTCCAAATGATGTCTTTGTAAGCCTAAATAGCACCTGCAAGTACTCATTTGTTATCTATTTCTCTCTCTCCCTCTACACTGTTACCGTAACAGTGGGAACAGGTTCTTTAGATAGATTCCTCCAGAGCCTAGTACCCAGTAGGTACTCAATAAATGTATGCTTGCTGAATCTTTTAATCTCACTGGCCAGTGAAGAATACTGGGCAAGGTATTCAGATACACAGACTGAACAGTTTCTAGTCATTTCAGGTTCTTAACTACCCACCTCAAAATAGCTCTTTGATAATACAAAAAGACAGCAATAAACAAAACTTTCATATCTTCTAGAAACTTCTCTCCCACCAGTTCTCCTTGCCCACATAGCCTCACATTACAAGCAGCCCAACAGCTGCACTCACTGCAGCTTTGACTGCAGATGCCTAGCTTAAAGGCAGGTGCCTAGAGCTGGAATGGCTGTTTTCCTCCTCCCAGCAATGTAGGTAAGGAGTAGGTAAGGCTGTGAGAATACAGGAAGTAACAGGCAGGTGACAGAAGCCAGCAGGGAAAGCAAACATGAACCAGGTGCCATCTTCGGTCAACCTCTTCCCAATGTCCACAGAGGTAGTCTCAGGATGCCTCATCCATGGGTTATCAATTTATTAAAATGTTAACACTGTAAGACATTTCCTATCATCTAAAGCAGAATCAAAAGCTTTTACTTTTCTCTTAACAAGCTAAAATTTAATAGTGTCCTGATCATCTTAAAGAAGAAATGTTTTAAAGTCAGATATTGTACAGGTCTGTAATCTCAGCACTTGGGAGGGTGAGGCCTAGGCTACAGAGCGAGACCGTGTCTCAAGAAGAAAAACGATTTTCTTAACAGGTTTTAAACAGTTCCTAATCATCAAAGCTAAACTACATAGTTTTCTGCTGAGATTCAATTTACATTGAAGAAAATGCAAAATAGCTTATGTACTGGCACGGGCCAACAAATAAATGGAATGAGTAAACCAAAATCTTTATGCTGCTGTCATTTATAAAGCATCTTCCAAGACTGAAGAAGGCAAGGTCAAAAATCTTAACAATTCTGTGATCCTTATTATACCCAGAAATGTACTTATATGTGGAGAGAAATTTTTAACTATGAGAACTCAAATTTTGAACTCCCCACCTTGGGTAACAATAAAGGTCCAAAGCCCACCCCCCACACACACCCCCCACCTCAACTCCCCAGGGTAATATGCTATTTAATAATGGCATCATATCCATTCTACATCATATCCAGTGTCACTCTGGGGCCAACACATCAACTCCAGCAACGTGGAAGAGTCAGAAGCATGTCTTGAGATGTCTGACTGCATTGACAAACGCACGAGAGACTGCGTCTGCGTCTGCAGGCTTACTCTGATAAGGAAAAAAAAAAAAGCCCCAGCAATCCACTAGGAGCTGACCGGACCACTCGCTCGAAAAGGAGAAAAGTGGGTGACTGCATAACTCACCAGCCTTCCATTTTAACTGCTGACCTCGTTAATGTCTGACCTCGGCCAGGCCGCCAGGATTGATAAAAGGAAAAAAGCCTGCAAAGGCGGCCACCCCTCCAGACGGCGGTTCAGACCACCCAGTACAGACCACCCTTAGACCTCCACGCCGCGGGGGCGGCGACCGGGGGTGTGGGGGGGCTGGAATCCTGGGGCGGGGTGGGGGGCCGCTAGGGATGGGGGGGAGTGCTGGGGCGGGCCGGGCCGCAGCGGGGGAGGAGGCGCTCGCGGGGGCGCTCAGGCGGGGTAGGCCGCGGGGTGGGGGTGGGGGGATCAGGCTCTCCGGGCGGGGTGGGCTGTGTTCGCGGGGGAAGGGAGGGAGGGGGAGAGGACAGGCGGGCGCTCGGAGCAAGGCCCGCGCGTCCCGGGGACCCGGGGACCTACCCGTCGAAGCGGACGGTGCCGGTCTGCTGCGTCTGCACGCGGTAGTGCTCCAGCAGCAGGCGCACCACCTTGGCGTGGCCGTTGCGGGCCGCGATGATGAGCGGCGTGGAGCGCTGGCCGCCCTGCTGGCTGACGTAGCCCAGCAGGTAGCGGATGTCGCTCTCGGAGCGATTGAGCAGCAGGGCGGCCAGGGTCAGCACCTTGCCCTCGCTGGCCGCCTTGTACACGTAGCCAGCCAGGCCCTCCATGGCCGCCGCCAACTCCAACACCCGTTTGGTCGCCACCGCTGCTGCCGCCTTGCGCCCCCGGAGGCCGCGTCCGCCAGCACCTCAGACCCGGGCCCTCACGGCCCATCCAACGGGGCAGCGGCGCGGCCCTGGCGGGCGGAGCCGCGGCGGGCGCGGGGGGCCGCCGGGGGCGCGTCCGCGACCCGGGCAGGGCGGGGAGGCGCGGTCAGGGCCGCCCCCCGGGCCCCAGGCGCCGGCCCCGGGCACACGCGATCTCCATGGCGGCCGCCGCCCCGGGCCTCGGGCCGGACCCTCCTTCCAGCGGGCTGCGACACGCGCGCGCCCGCGCTACGGGTCGCCGGCGGGGTCCCGAGGGGGTCGCGCGCCCGGGAAGGGGGGGGCCTCAAGGCCCTCGGCCCTCGCGGTCCCGGCCCGGGGGAAGCCCGCAGGCGCTCGCCCGCCGCGGCTCGGAGGCCTGGCACTCGGGAGGCCTTCGCAGCCACGCGCGGGCGGCGGCGGCGGCGACGCGGTCGGCTCCCGCGGGGCCGCGCCGGAACTCGGCGGGAAGAAGCGAGCGGCTGCCTACGGCGCCGGAGGGGCGGGGCCACGGGGCGGGGCCACTGCGCGCGTCCTCCCCTTAGCCGACCGGCTGGAACTCAATGCCTGCGAAGAAAGGTTCCGCCGTGCTCCGGGCCTGGGCGCGCGCCTCCCGGGCCCCACCGGCCCTCGGCGAGGAGGAGGAGGGCGAGGCCCTGCCCCAGGACGCCGATCGGGGAGACCGCAGCGCTTGCTTCCATCCATTCCTTCCTGGCCCGACAGGCGGCCGCCCCTACCCCAGGCAAAGGCGGCGCCCCAAGTCCTGGGGCTGTGGGGGGCTTTCAGTGGGGGACTTAAAACTGGGCCTGCTCAGGGAACCCCGCGGTGGAGACGCCGGCCTCCTGGGAAGGAAATGCAGGCCTCCAATCCGAGGCCCGAGCAGCCTCCATTCTATCGCACAAGGCTGCTGTTAAGGTCTGAAAAAGAGATTTATCCAACCTACTAGAGGCCATCTGTGTGCCCGGCCTGGCTTAGCAGCAGCTGTCCTAGGAGAAGCCTAAGTCAACAGAGGATGGACGGCCCTGTGCAGTTACTGCCTTTGCACCTTTGCAGTGAGGCAGTGATGGGAGTTGTCACAGCAATCCCTGTGACCGGTGACAAGAGCAGAGGCTAGACAGACCACAGCTAGTACAAAGCCCTGAGCAAGGACCAGCCTGGTGAACCCTGGTACACAAAGGGCCGGCTGGCCGCTGCAGAGGGAAGAGTTCTAAATTAAACTCTGTGAAGGAAGCGTTGGAAGGGTTTTAAACAGGGAAGTGACAGGATGCTACTTCTCGTTTTTATTTGTTTATTGAAAAGATCACTCTCCGGGCTGGGAAGGTGGCTCAGTGGTAGAGCGCTTGCCTTGCATGCATGAGGCCCTGGGTTCGACTCCTCAGCACCACCTAAGCAGAAAAAGCCGGAAGTAGTGTGTGGTTCAAGTGGTAGAGCGCTAGCCTTGAGCTGAAGAGCTGAGGGACAGCGTCCAGGCCCAGAATGCAGGCCCCACGGCCCGACCAAAAAAAAAAAAAAAAAGATTATTCTGGCTGCTGTGTGGAAAATAAGCAGTAGGAGGCAAGAGGTGAGGCTGAGCAGTGAAGTAGATAAGGAGGCGAATCTCGAAGTAGAATGAGGGGACTGGTCCTCTTCTCAAGTTTTCTCCCATTCTCTAGCACAACTTTTGGCTTGCAGAGCTCTATGAAAATACTAGGGGGTTTCCCTTTTACCTTACTAACAAAAACATCAATAGAGATAAGGGATGAAGATACATACTCTGAGTAATGTTTCCGAAATCTCTAGAAGAAAGCAGAAAAACTGGGTGGTTTCATTCTGGAGCCTTCAGAGTTGTAAGACAGTTGCTGACAGGCTGGTCTCCTGGGGCCTTGCAGTGTGTCCCAGGGTTCTCTCTGACTTCTTATTGTTGTTTCTTTGTTTGTTTGTTTGTTTGTTTGTTTGCCAGTCCTGGGGCTTGAAGTCAGCCTGGGCACTGTCTCTGAGCTTCTTTTGCTCAAGGCTAGCACTCTACCACTTGAGCCACAGTGCCACTTTCAGCTTTTTCTGTTTATGTGAAATTAAACCCAGGGCTTCATGCATGCTAGGCAAGCACTGTACCACTGAGCCACATCCACAGCCTCTTCTGACTTCTTTCTGGGACTCTAGCTCAGTTGGGTTTCTCATATCACCTCTTCCTTCTACACTCACACTTTCACCATCTCCTTACCCCAGCCCTTTGATTACCAGAGCAAAAGCTGGTAGCCTTGGGAGAGCATCTTCCCCCCGCCCCCCTAAAAAAAGATCACCTCACAGCCTTTTACCCAGTTAATCTCTGCATCATTCTTTTCCTACCTGATGCTTTGAACAGGTCTCTATTCTGCTTTGTTTTTCTACAAGAGACCCAACTGATTAAGACATTCAATGCTCATTTAGGAGTCTTGCTTTTTCCTCCTGCCCTTCGTACTGCACTGTGGTGGTGTAACTGGACCAACAGTTGTACCAGAGAAGGGCTTAGATCTGCACTGCCCACTACCCCCTCCCCTAGGCAGAAAGGTGCCTCCCTCTTGCAGCCAAAGTCAGGAATCATGAGCTGCTCAGTATAAGGTTTTGGGATCCCTTGATTCCTTAATAACCATTGACTGATTAGAGGCTATTTGGTTGTCTCTATTCACCTGGATCTGGAGGGAGACATTTCTGTGATCAGGTTGTACAAATCTAGAGAGAGGATGTATAAACAAGACATAGTGGGCTGGGAAGGTGGCTCAGTGGTAGAGTGCTTGCCTTGCATGCCTGAGGCCCTGGGTTCGATTCCTCAGAACCACATAAGCAAAAAGAAAAAAGCAGGAAGTGGTGCTGTGGCTCAAGTGGTAGAGCGCTAGCCTTGAGCTGAAGAGCTGAGGGACAGTGCCCAGGCCCAGAGTTCAGGCCCCATGACTGGACCCAAAAAAAAAAAAAAAAAAGACATGGCTACTTTTCCAAAAGCCAGAGCTCAAATATCATTCCTTGTGCTCCTAACGTATTGCCATTTCTCTGGACAGAAAGCCACCGAGCAAATGAAAACTAGTAAGATATAAGCCGGGCTCCGGTGGCTCACACCTATAATCTTAGCTACTCAGGAGGCTGAGATCTGAGGATTGTGGTTCAAAGCCAGTCCAGGCAGGAATGTCCGTGAGACTCTTATCCCCAATAAACCAGTAGAAAACCGGAAGTGGCGTTGTGGCTCAAGTGGTAGAGCACTCACCTTGAGCTGAAGAGCACAAGGACGGAGCCCAAGCCCAGAGTTCAAGCCCCACAACCGACAAAAAAGAAAAAGAAAAAAGAAAATTAGTAAGATATAAAAACGAGGAGTCGGGGGCTGGGAAGGTGGCTCAGTGGTAGAGCGCTTGCCTTGCATGCATGAGGCCCTGGGTTCGATTCCTCAGCACCACATAAGCAAAAAGAAAAAAGCTGGAAGTGGCACTGTGGCTCAAGTGGTAAAGTGCTAGCCTTGAGCTGAAGAGCTGAGGGACAGCACCCAGGCCCAGAGTTCAGGCTCCATGACCAGACCCAAAAAAAACAAAAAACGAGGAGTCATCTGAAAGATGTAAACTGCAGCCTTTCCCCCTGGACAAAAGGCAAGTCAGCTGACTTTTGCTTCCTAGGGTGCATGGGAACAGGCTGTACCTTTTGTGGAGCATTGGTTTTTCCAAGCCAGGTCAACCTGTTCTTAAGGCTCTGAGACAGTGCAGTCTCTCAGATTTCATAAAGAAGATAATGTCAAATGTCACGTTCAAGCACCAGTAAAGATATGCATTTTAGTCCCATTATCCTCCCACATTGGGTAAAGGAAGAGAGTCATTCTAGCATTGAATAGAGGAAGGGTGGATTCCTGTGTCTTCCCACTGTCTGTAATTTTGAACACACTTCCTTCTCTGGTTAATGGTGTTTGATACCCTTCTGCTTGCAACGTTGTGGCAAGTGCAAGCTCCCTGATCAGGCCTGATGGTGTCCACTCCGTGTGTGTGTGCCTTCTCCTCCCATTGCAGCTGTACCCATCTTCTGTGCCATTAACCTGCTCAAGAGAGGACTTCTACTGCACCTGTATTTTTTTCTGCACAAGTGGCTCGGCTTCTGAGAGTAAAATTATGGTGAACAGGAGCTTGGGAAGCAAATTAAGAAGAATTCAAGCTGGGTGCTGGTGGCTCACACCTATAAATCCTAGCTACTCTGGAGGCTAAGATCTGAAGATCGTGGTTCAAAGCCAGCCTGGGCAGAAAAATCCCCATGAGACTCTTACTTCCAATTAACCATGCAAAAACCAGAAGTAGCACTGTGGCTCAAGCGGTAGAGTGCTAGCTTTGAGCACAAAGAAGCTCAGGGACAGTGCCCAGACCCTGAGTTCAAGCCCTGCGACTGACAAAAGAAGAAGAAAAAATTATTATTATTGTTGTTGTTGTTGTTATTCAGGAAGGGAAAAATTGGAAGAGAGCGAGGGAAGGGGTGACATTTTCCAAAAACCAATGTAACCTTTGCCTGACATGTAACTGTAATGCCTTTATGCATCATCATCATCATCATCATCATCATAATGAGTTCAGACATTCCAACAAGGCTATAGAAAAAGATGTCAGAAATCAGGGTGATAACCAAGAAATGTGATGACCAGCTTCCCTCCACGCAACCAGTTTCAGAGGACAAGCAGCCTATTGGCCTCTATTCCTACTATCTCCAACTCTCCTTGCCTTTACCTGGAAAGCTCATGAATGACTGGCAAAAGCAAAATGGAAGCAGGAAGAGAAGCATGACTTTCTGTTGTTTTGCAGCCCAGCGTTTACAGTCTGTCAGAAAGCTGACAGAAGCAGTACTTCTGCTATGTTCTAACCCACCCGTCATTCTGTACCAAAAGCGGCCCCAGGATAATAAGAGAAATGACCATAGCTGCTCACTCTTGAGGTGCTTATCTGCACCAGGAGTCATAGTAACCACTTCACACAGACCAGCACAATAAATTTACGTCAGCTCTCTCCAAGTACACGCCATTATTTCTGCCCTTCAAATGAGGAACTGAGTCAGGGAGCTATTGAGCAGCTAGAGAGCAGGGATTGAACTTCCGGCTGTCTGACTACTCCTAGCCTCCTCTGATCTCCCCCACACCCCCAGTTGCTCCTGTAGCTCCAGGCCAGCATTAGACTTTGCCGTGGCCCTGACCACTTCAAGTGGAACTAGGCACCAATTAATCAGTCATCCTGGCTACAGGAAAAGGGCATAGGCAACTCTCCTGACAGGTCATTTCTCATTGCTACCACAGGAATTGAGGGCTGAATCCAAGCAGTTGGCA